ACCCAGCTGGTCCACAATAGCTAATCACCTCCAATCCTCCAATCAAAGGATCCCAAAGTCACTATATATAAATCCTTATTTCCTTTCTACAACCATCTTCGTCTGAAAGAAACCCCCCTTCCTCCCCTTCTTCCACCTTTATCCAGAATGGGCAAGAATACCACTGGCTCCGGGTCCTCGCCGGGCCATCTGGTATTTCTGTACACAGTTTGCGTGTTCTCCCTGTGTCTGCATGGGTTTCCCCTGGGTTCCTCCTGCTGTCTAAATATGCTCCATATTATTGACAAAATTAGCCGAAGTCTTTTCCTAAATGTCTTATTCTCAGGAAGTTCGCCTTAGCCTAAGAAACAGGGGAGTTTTGAGATCGACCTGAGCTTAAACTCCCCTCGCCCTGCGAAAGGAAGGGAGGCCTGGGCCTTTGGATCCCCTTAGCTCAGGGCTCTTTCCCGGGTCAGCAAGTCAAACAAGCTATTTATAAATCATGAGCTAAGTGTAAACATGAGTGCTACAAATTGAATTATAAAGTACATTTAAGTTTCCCCATTCTAAAAAAACAAAAGAAACAAACATTTTATTACTCTAAAATCTTGTTAATTATAAGTATTATAACTGATGTTAAGAGCATTAATTATAATTGATATAATTGATCCCTATGTTTTAGGAAAATTAATTGAAATGAGGTGCAAACATGTTCACAGATTTGCTAATAATGTTTTCTTAATAACTTAAAACAGCATATTTAATATGTTTATAAAAAATGTTTTGATTTATAAATAAACAAATACAGGCTTCCTCATTCAAAAAAAAATCTTATTACTCAAATATATTGCCAATTAGGCTTATACTTGATGTTACTTAAAATTATGTTAACTATAATGTTAACTTTAATAATGTTAACTACATTTGATATTGATCCTAATATATCTTGAAAATGAACTGAAAAGTTTTAAATGAGGTTTAAAAACCCTCAACACATCAGCTTAATGCTTCATATTTGATAAGTTTGAATGTTTTTAGAATGAATAACAAAGTCTAAGTTTCTCAATTCATACTTCATTTGATTTTACTCTTACCTTCATCATGTTACTAATTTGAAACAGTAGGTTTTAGGTTTACCTTAAAAACGTCATTCAAGATTTCATAGCAAAAACACAGGTGTAGCTACTATCTTTCTCTGAACATCTTCCGATTTAAAGTGAATGTTGCAGATCTCTGCAAGGGTGAATCTACAATAGTTGTGGTAAGCAAGACTCCAGTGTGCTGTCTATAAAGACTGTCATTTTATTCACTTTATGTCGCCCTCTGTCCATCCATCTACCAAAAGGATGACAGAACTGACTCAGAAACTCCATCAGAAATTAGTAGATGGAGAGCAGTTGAGTGATTAATGGATTAACTTTCAACTGCATATTTTAAGTTTCCCCCAAAACCAAACAATTTCATATAAATAAAAGAGAGAAAATGAGTGAATAATTAAAAATATTACCTACTCAAATGTTATTATTGAGTACAGCCTACAGTTACAGTACATAAACCTCTTATTCTAATCAAATATTTTAATTATTATGAATCAAAATAATATAGATTGTTTAAAATAACATCGAAAATGTATTCATCTGTAAAAAGCCATGCGTTTTTACAGTGGATAAAAGCATATTTAAAAAAATTATGCTTCATTGATTCAAATAGTTAAACAATTGTGTTCAACATCAAAGTAACTGTAAAATCATAAAATAAAAGGACACTGCTGTGACATTAAATATTTAGTACATCAAGAATATGACTTGGTGCTTAGTTTGGAACCTCTATGGCCCCAAGATTCTCACAACATTCAGTCAAGGTGGGTGAAGGAAAATCATGGTTTGGGGTTATATTCAGTATGGGGGCATGCAAGAGATCTGCAGAGTGGATGGCAACAACAACAGCCTGAGGTATCAAGACATTTGTGCTGCCATTAAATTACAAACTACAGGAAAGTTCAAATTCTTCAGCAGGATAGTGGACCTTCTCATTCTCAACCTCCACATCAAAGTTCCTGAAATCAAAGAAGGTCAAGGTGCTCCAGGATTGGCCAGCCCAGGCACCAGACATGAACATTATTGAGCTTATCTGAGGTAAGATGGAGTAGGCATTGAAGATGAATCTAAAGATTCTTGATGAACTCTGGGAGTCCTGCAAAACACTTTCTTTGCCATTCCAGATGACTTTCTTAATGTTATTTAAGTCATTGCAGAGATGTATGGATACAGTCCTCCAAGCTCATGGGAGTCATACACAATATTCATTCTTTTTCCACTGCACCATGATTTCATATTCTATACTGGACATTATTTCTGTTAAGTAACAAGACTTTTGTCTCAGCAAAGTCAGACCTTACTGTCTGTAAACTAAAGCGTAATCTAGAGGCCTTTGCCTTTCATATCAGCCACTCTTGATGCCAAATGATCAACTAGAATTTAAGTTATTATTTGTTGTTCCTAAAACTTGTATAGGCGACAAGACTTTTGTCCGGTAGTGTATAGCTATGTTTCCATCCACCTATTTGTATGCGCAGTTTTGAATATTGCAATGAAATTGTTTGAGGAAAATGCCAAGATGTGCATATATTTTGAAAATGTGCAAAAAAAGGATGCACACAACTTGAGTAGAATAAACTTTTTATCCAATAAAAAAATGCATAAACTACGATAAAAACACATTTATGAATAAAAACCTTGTATGTACATAAAAAAGTGACATAATAAGAGATCATGTGATAACATAAATGGGTGTGATGGGGCAGCATTAATGGACAAATCAGCAGGCCAACTACATTAAACCCTCTGAAATGTTGTTTTGTGCATTCTAAAATGGGCCTTAGCCAAAGTTTGTCATCGTGCCTGTCAACTTTTTGGTGCCACTTCACGAGAAAGCGATGATTTTGTTCTTATTTAATGATTGGATACTTTATTTGATACTTTATGCAACATTGCAGTTTTGCATATACATTCAGTTATTGGATGGAAACATTGACAACAAAGACTTATCAAAAGAGAAACTTTCTGTTGGATGGAGGCATCGCTGATGTCCATATCCATAAACATAATTGTTACAGAAAGTGAAACAATAAATCAAAATGTCATTTTGGAGTTTATCATTTTTTTTTTACTAATTTGCTTATTTCAATTCACAGTAAAACACAAACTGAAGACACATTCATATTAAAGACTTACTTTCAAAAGAAAAAAAAAAACAGAATGAATAAATATGACAAGCTTTGTTTGACTCTGTATTTGTTTTGTTATTGTGTCTCAAATCTGAAACTTTGCTGCCTCTGTGGGTCTTCTATTGAGCACCACCAGTGTCCTCAGGTCACACTCACCAGCCACTGCATCTTGACAGTCACACTTAATACCTTCTGGTGACCCTCACCAGTCCCAGGGTCTTCCAGTCACCCACAACATAACATCTGGTGATCCTTACCAGTCCATGTGCTTTCGGTGACCCTAATCAGCCCATGTTGATTCAGTGACCCTCACCACCCCCTACGCATGTGGTGAACCACACCAGCCCTTGTGCATTTGGTGACTCTCACCAGCTCTTGTGCTTTCAGTGACTCACACCAGCCCTTCTACTTACCCACATGATAAGATTTGGTCCCCCTCACCTGTCCATGTGCTTTTGGTGACCCTCATCAGCCAAAGTGCTTTCTGTGACGCTCACCAGCCCCATTGCTTTTGGTGACCCTCACCAGCCCCTGTGCTTTTAGTGACACACACCAGCTCTTCAAGTCACACGCACCATAACATCTGATGACTTTCACCTGTCCCTGTGCTTTCTGTGACCCTCACCAGCCCCTGTGCTTTTGGTGACCCACTACCAACCCCTGTACTTTTGGAGAACCAAACCAGCACTTCATTCTAGCTTCAAACTTCATATGAAGCCAGTCAAATATTATACTCAGCTATATGACAAAAAGCAAATGACAAGTTAATAAAATAAAACTGATGGATCAAATAAGAATATATATTTTTTATTATGTGTCAGTGGCAGCTGAATTCCAACATTCTATAGAATATCTTGTTTTTTTGTTCAACAGAATAAAGAAACGCATATAAGTTTAGAACCACTTGTGTGTGAATTGATAGAATCCTCAAAAATTCAGAGTAAAGAAAGACTGTGCCTCTTGCGCCATCTGGTGTTTGATTGTTTTGAGACGGTTTCTCTGTAGGAAATAACCCTGATTTCCAGTCACATTTGTTATTCTGTCCAGTTGTCATTTTTTGAAAACAAGACAATAAATGACAATATAGTTATTTAAAAGAAAAATGTATTTAAATTTTTTATTAAAAATAAAAAATAAAATTTTATTTTAGAATTAGTTTGAAAGAAATGCTATCATATCTTTATAGAATAACACCGTTTGCACCAGGTTATTTTGTTTTCCTAAAAATAAATCAGAATTAAGTCTGTACATTTTTACATAGGCAATTGAATTTATGTAGCATTTTCTTTAAATATTATTTAATTTAATTATCCAAACCTCAAAAATAAATAAACGACTGCACGGCGGTGCAGTGAGTAGCACGTTCGCCCCACAGCAAGAAGGTGACTGGTTCGAGCCTCGGTGAGTCAGTTGGCGTTTCTGTGTGAAGTTTGCATGTTCTCCCTGTGTTTGCTTGGGTTTTCTCATTAATGGGTTGCAGCTGCAAGGGCATCTGCTGTGTAAAACATATGCTGGATATATTGGCGGTTCATTCCGCTGTGGCAACCCCAGATTAATGTAGGGACTAAGCCAAAAAGAAAATGAATGAATAATAAAAAAGCTTATCAACTCTTGTTTTTTTCCATTTAAGTGTACAAAATGAGTAAAAATAAAAGCATAGAATTATTAAAAATGAGCTCAAATTATGTACCTGCAAACTGTGGATGTGGTTGCAAAATTTTTAATGCGTAAAACAAAAATTAATGTGTGCTTTTATTTTGGTGGAAAGGTGCTTCCTTTGGTGCTTCCGGTCAGATGTTCGCATCAGGTTAAGCGGCGGCCGCTAGGGGGAATCGTCTAGCAGTGTCGTTCTTACGGAATTCTTCTTGGTCACCTGATAAACGCAGAAATGGCTGGCCGAGTAAGTATTACTTTCCCGTTAAAGTTATTTTTGGCTAAAACGTCAATACGTATCTTTTTGAGAGTCTACTAAGCAAACTCAAAGCTGAACTCCATTCATACGTGTTGTGTTTGCACACGTCATTCACGCTCATGCAGAACCGGAAGAGCTTCACATCACATCTTATGACTCTCAAACTTAAAGCGCTGTTTCAAGTTTTAAGTACAACTTTCTAATGTTTTTAAAATGCAGTTGTTTTTGTTAAATAAGTTTGATAAGTGAAGTCGGCAGGATGCGTGTTGTTACCCCTTTGGCTGCTGTCATTTCAGATGTTTCAATCAGAGTGAAAGAAAGTTCATATTGTTATAAAGAACCAAATGACAGCGCAACGTTAAGGGAATTGAGTTATGAATCCTCAAGACACCTAAATGCAAATGAAAACATAATTTTTAGGCATTAGTTTATCAGACATTTACTAATGTAAAGACTTGAACCTACAGAGGTCTGTATTGTTGTTATTATTGTTAACCACGACTATTGACAAATGTGCCCTAAAATGAAAATGTACTCACTATTTACTCGCCCTCAAGTGGTTCCAAACCTTTATGAGTTTCTTTCTTCAGTTGAACACAAAAGAAGGTATGTAGTAGGAAATCAAATACTATGGAAGTAAATGGTAACAAGTTTCCAGCTTTCTTCAAAATATATTTATTTGGTTTCAGCTGAAAAAAGAAGCTCATAATGCTTTGAAACAAGTAAAGTGTGAGTGGATAATTGCAGAATTTTCAATTTTGGGTAAACTGTGCCTTTAAAATCATAACAAACTAAACTATAAATGTCAAGTAATCTCTAGGCAACAAATTGAGTTAAAATAAAACGTTTAATTTAAATTGACTAAAATAAAAATGTAATCAAGACTTTTAAAAGAAATACTATAACCAAAAAGGCAAAAGTTACTCAAATAAAATTAAAAAGCTAATTCTAATTATTCATAAATATTGGCACACATGAGACTACAAAACAAATGGCACACAATATGTTCAATGAAGTAATTAAAATTAATTAATATTTGTTTTTGTTTTTTAACTTTATAGTTTGTAATAGAAAACAAAATAATTATACTAATTAAAAATATATTACACGAAGTCAAGGAGCATCAAATTTTGTTGTCGACATCAAATATAACTAGCAAAATTTCATCTTAACAAATATTATTACACATAACTTTGTGAAACCTCTGGGTAAATAAAATGTCCAAATATGGGTTTAAAAATATTCCACCATCATTCAGCGTAACATTTTTTTATTTATTTATAATTATTTTTTTGTTTATGTTGAAAGGAACCAAAATATTCAGACCTGAAACATCAAATGTGCTTTGAAGGAAAGCATAAAGATTTGACAAATGGCAAATTAATAATTTTGAGCTCAAGTTACACATTTTAATATAAAAAAATCAATCAATAAATGAAAAGCTATTTTCTGTCATGACCCATAATACACATTTTAAATTTTATTCATTCATTTTCTTTTCGGCTTAGTCCCTTTATTAATCTGGGGTCGCCACAGCAGAATGAACTGCCAACTTATCCAGCATATGTTTTATGCAGCGAATGCACTTCCAGCTGCAACCCATCACTGGAAAACATCCACACACACTCATTCACTACAGACAATTTAGCCTACCTAATTCACTTATGTCTATGGACTTGTGGGGGAAACCGGAGCACCCTGAGGAAACCCACGCGAACGCGCCGAGAACATACAAACTCCACACAGAAACGGCAACTGACCTAGCCAAGACTCTAACCATCAACCTTCTTGCTGTGAGGCGACAGCACTACCTACTGCACCACCGCATCGCCACATATTAAATTATTTATTGTATTTGATATGAATATTAGAACAGAATTTCAATTTGATTTTCTCAAATGTCACAGTCAAAAAAAGTGAGAAAAAAATACAGCTTGTTTGTAATGTTTTTTCAGATCTTTGGACTCCTTGTCAGGTGTTTGTTTCATTAATGGCTCATAGGTACTTATGCAAATCATAGAAATTTGATAAGCAGCTCCAAACACAGTGTGCATTATAATTATGGCATGTATGCTTGAGGAGATTATGTCCGATTCAGAAATTCCAGAATTTATTTCATGCTAGGTAAAACCACACTAGTGTTTAATACAGGTCTTCAGTAATCCTGTAAGTTCACAAAGCATTACTGTATGTTCTCAGCATTTCTTTCCTGCGAGCTAAACCGAGTCATTAAAGATTTGTAGAGTATTTGAATAATTGAATGTGATGGACGTGTTTCTATTTTCCATTTAAAATGTTGGGTTTTACAAATGTTTGGTTGTCTTTTTGCCTTATTTTTTGGACCAGTGTTAGTTCTAGTTATGATTTGAATTTAGTAATTAGCATTAGAATTGTTTTATTTATTATTTCTCACACCTTTTGCTCTTTTTTTCTGCCAAGTTTCTTATCTAAAAAAAAATCTTTAATAATTTCATAATATTTAAAAATTAAGTTTTGAATAGTCTTTGATTCTCGAAGACACGCTTGTATTTACATCAGAATACAATATGAAAAACACCATAAAAACACTGTGTTTTTGCTTTTTGTTCTGCATTTCTGTATATTTCTGTACATTTAATAAATATGTTTTATATAAAAAATGTTATTCAGTCAATTTAAGCAAAGCTAAATATCAGTATATTTAATTATATTTGAATAACAAATCAGAATATATAATTAAACATTTGGCTTTTACTTTTATTCAGTTAACTCAACTCTACTCAAAATAATGATAGTATAAAAAGAACACCATGTACACTGATTAAATATATAATTACATATTTAAACATTAGAAAATTACCATTTCAAATACAATATTTAGATAGCTACCAAAGTAAATATTTAAAATGTCTTAACAAATAAAAATGCACAAGTAAATTTGACTGTTAATGTGAGAATTGTGTCAGTATATTAATTAACAGAGGTTGATCTTTGCATCGAACAAGGGGTCCTTTGTGTGAAAATGTGAAAAGACCACTGATCTAGTAGTAATTATAACAAATACAAAGAAGCATGTTTCAAGCTTTTGACTGCCAACATATACAAGTCCACATTTTTGATTTCTGTTGTTTGCTACCATTTCATCAATCCTTTGCTTGTTTTTTTTTTTCAGCAAATGCAAGCAGCGAGATGCCCAACAGATGAACTGTCTCTCACAAACTGTGTGGTTGCAAGTGAGAAAGACTTCAAATCTGGGCAGTGAGTATTTGATGTGCATCTGAAAAAAAAAACCCCTGAGATGTGGTTATATTTAAATGCACTATCAGAATGTATGTGTCTGATCAGCTGTTCTGTCCCTCTTGCTCTCTCTCTCACTTTTATAGGCATTTGACTATTAAAACCACTCCAACTCAGAAATTTGTTTTCACTGTGAGAACTCATCCAAGCGTGGTGCCAGGAACCATTGCCTTCAGTCTACCTCAGGTACATGTTTTTGTAATCTTTTCCCAAGGGATTGTCTAAAAGCCACTCATGACACATAATGTGCTCTCTATGGTTTTTACACAGTCATCATTGGTTATGTCTGCTGTTCTAGACATCTAGATCTAAAGCTAAAATTATAAAGACGTAATGCCACATAAGTGTATGGATGAACAGACTCGAGTGACGATTTGCTTCATTATGTGATGCTATTGAAGCTATTTTTTATGACTTTTAATTCTCACAATTATAATTTTTTCCCCCAGAAATTAGTATAACAATCTGGAGTTATAAACAAATGAAATGATTGTAAAGTGTTGAAAATAATTTTGAACAAATTATCATTATTTTTGTTTAAAATGAGTAGATTTAATTAATTAATGAGTCAGAACCATATGAATTAACCTATAATAAACATATTTAATATATGTATTATTATATTATAGACCATGTTCTTCCGCAAGAAGCATATAGTTTTACTTATTAACTGCAAAAGGTAAAATGATTTGCCCTTCTGTAAAATTAATTCTTTTAAAAAAAATTCTCAAATGCTCCTTAAATGAGATTTAAAGAGTTTTTTTTAACACCCTTTAAACAGAATAGTTTTAATAACTAATTTGTAATACCTTTTTTGTCTTTGACATAATAATGACAGTACATAATATTTACTAGTGCAAGATACTAGTATTTAGCTTAAAGTGCTCAACTAGTTTAATTAGCCAAGTAATTTTGCAACACAGGATTGTTCTGTAGCCAAATGAAACAAATCAATTCTTAAGGTGCCTAATGATACTGACCCTAAATATTTAAAAAATAAAACAGCTTTTATTCCAGCCAAACTTAAAACAAAGGTCAGACTTTCTCCAGAAGGAAAAAATGTAATAGGAAATACTGGAAAAAATCATTGCTCTGTAAATTTTTGAAATAACTATATTTCACAGAACAGCTAATTATTTTGTTTATACGGTGAAGATAAGTTGATTTAATTACGTGTATGTACACATTCGTATTAGGTCATAAATATATTCCTCAAAATTGATCTAAATATATTAATAGAAAATTTGTATTAACCTTGCTGATGCATGTAGTGACATTTTTTTATTGCCATATAGTGTGGGATTGTTACACTCCCGCTTAATGTTGTTGTGTTTCTTAACAACCTTTGTTGTTTTTGCCTGCTTATCCTCCACCTATTAACATGAGAGCAGCAAGACACCTCAGGTACTGTTGTAACTTTCTCACAGTGGTCTTATTTTTATGGCACAATGTCATATTAATGAACCAAAAAAAAATGAAACACAACTTAAGAAATGTTCATCTAATGACACTAAAGGATAAATAATTAATGTGCTGTACAGTAAGACCATCTACAAAGAGATAGTTGTGTTTGTGTGACCTTTAGCAGTAGGATCTTATAAACTAACTGTATAATAAGTGTGTGTCTTGTGTTATGTAATAACTTGGATTAATTATGCATGCAGGCTAAATAAAAGATAATGTAAACTTATTAAAATGCTCTCTGTGTCACAGAGAAAATGGGCTGGACTCTCTCTAAACCAAGATGTGGAAGGTACGTGTGTAGTTTATTATTTTTTTACAGTACTAGGTGAAATAATAAAAAATATATATATTTTAAAGAATTTAAAATAAAAAGGTTGCCCGTAAAATCGACACTATTTGATTAGCTGATGTGTGCATTGACTAATTTTTTATTTTTCTCCATTTGTCATGAGAATATTTATTGTAGTGTCACAACTCTTTGGTTGGGTTAGATAGATGGAAGAGCATTAGATTGAGCAAAATCATTTTGATAAAATGTGAAGAAAAAGAATGAATTTGTTATTATACCAATAAATTACACCAATAAGTTCAAATGTAGACGAGTTTCTCAAAAATGTATTGCAAATGTACTGTCTCAAAAAACGGTAATATTGTGAATTATTTTTATTAATACCATGAAAGTTCTACAGTAACTTGGTATTGTTCTCAAAACCATGATATACTAGACTTGCTTTTTGAAGATGCTTTTATTAATAGAAAGTTAAAAAAGAATAGCATTGAAATTGATCTTAAGTAAAACTAATATCTTCATTCTCATATTTTTTGTTGTTGCTGAAGAAAAGTCTGTATTTAAAAAAAAAACAAAGGACATTTTAAAAGCTAGATTGTAGTAAAGTGTGGTGTAAGTAAGGTGTTAGCATAGTTTAGACTGTGGGTCCAAGTCTGACTATTTGTAGACTTCCGGTCAAAATTTTTAAGGTTAGATTTTTTATTTGAAGAAAATTATTCTGTTCATCAAGGCAGCATTTAATAAATGTAAAAAATTGTAAAATATTTGTACAAATTTTACATAACTGCTTTTTTATTGTATGCAGTTTCAAATTAAATGCAACTCTAGTTATTATTGCTTTTATTACCATTAATAATGATTAATAGTAATAGTAATAATGATAATAATAATATGTACATGTACTCTGAAGACTGGAGTAATGAAAATTCATCTTTAAAATCACTGGAATAAATGATTAAATTAAATGATAAACTACTGTTGAACAGTATTTTTATAGTGCAATAACATTTCACAATTTCACAATTTTTACTGTATTTTTTGATGAAATAAAGGCAGTCTTGGTGAGCAAGATAAGCTTATTTTAAAACATTCAAAAATCCTAATGACCCCAAAACTTTTGACTGGTAGTGTATATCTAATTGGAAACGACTGACTGTTCTCATTATTGTATTGAAACTGGTCAGATGCTATTTGTGAATGTCTGCATTGGATTTTATGCCAATAATGTTGTACTGCATTTCATACATAAGAAAAAAACGAACAAACAGACGTTGTGTTACTTTATGACAAAATGCTGCCGTTTGTGATGTATAATAACACCTTATGAGGCAGCAGCACAAACAATGGAAACTGGTATGTGTGGTTTTCATGCGTTTTGACATCTTTGCTGGTCTCAACAATTAAGGAGGTGTATAGACCAGCTGTACTGGTAGGATTTTAGCATTTTTCACCAGACTTTCACTTTGCAAAAACAACCCAGACTTGTTTCTCTAATAACGTTCAGCCTTTTTTCTACAAACAACATCTGACATGTCATGTTCACATTTTACATGATGTAAAAAAGCCAACAATAACAACTCAAAAATATGATAGGATCAGTCGTGATTTTGTATCGTCAAATGTACTATCCTAAGAATGTCCATATGAATTATATGTACAGTATTTACTAACAATACACAAAATACTTCATATACATAATTACATTTTTGATGATATTAATTTTGATCAATATAAAGAGTTCTAACATTTTTATGAGATATTTGGTTCTATTGTGTTTTATTAATGTCTACACCCAAACTCTAAACCTAGCTCTTACAGGAACCTGTTGAGTTTTGTTAATGTCTACACCTAGCCTTGATGTTGTTTTGTTTGCAGTGAGTGTCTACAACTTTGACCCGTCCAGACAGTATGTGGGAACCATGACAATCGAGATCGACTTCCTCCAGAAAAAGAGCATTGACAGCAATCCTTATGACTCTGATAAAATGGCCATTGAATTTATTCAGTGTTTCACTGCACAGGCCTTTAGCATGAGTCAACAGGTGAGACATTAATCAATCTTGAATGTTATTGTGTTTTGACAATTGTGGTTTGATCCCCTTGGTTTGTTTGGTCCAAAACAAATTGACACTTGGGGCCCGTTTCAGAAAAGTAAAAACTCTCAGTATGTTAACGTCGAACTGAGGGAAACTCTGAATTTTCCATTTCAGAATGGAAGAAATGCCAAACCCAAGAAACAGGGTTACTCAAGCTTCTCCTCCCTATTTAAAGTGCTGTTTAAATATGTATTCGTTTTTTAGGTATTTTATCACATTTCAAGTAAACATATTTAAAGATTTTTAAATTTTTAATTGGGAATAATGAAAGGTATTAAGTCTGTTTTCTTATTAAGTTTAGACTTAAATTATGCCTAAGTCAATTATCTGTGAATGTGGCAATAGTAAACATAGAAGTTTTCTTAATATAAATTAAAACAAGAATATTTGGAGTGTTGGCAAATTGACAGTAGCTCCACCCTACAAAGTTACGCAATATTAAATATTACAAAAGACCAGCAAACTTGAAAACTTAAAGGCTGTTTACAATACAGCATTTTCAGGCAAAAACTGAAACTTTTGTTTTGCTTGTACCTTTGCCCAGCAACTGTGTTTTGTGACTTAAAATGCACACAAATATATCAACAAAAATATAAATAAGATAAATAAAGTTTTTAAAAACTCATTATTGTGTCTATGTAAACGCAGGAAAATGAGAGTAAGCACAAACAAACACACCACAATGTTGGAGTACGTGGTTGTGTTGTTTAAGGGAAAACTTTTGACTTGTTGACTATGTTGTTGTCATGTAATCATATGCACTGAGTTATGTTATATTTCAGTAAAAGAAGAAAATAATTTGTTTGAAAGTGGACCAAGACCAAGTTGTTTTAACTAACACCCTTAATAAGGTCTGTGAGTTTTGTATGTGTTGTTAATGTTGTGGCACATTAACCTGTATCTTCTTCTTAAAAGTTTGTCTTTAGTTTTTGTGACAAACTCTTTGCGCTGGTCATAAAAGATATTGAGGCCATGGATCCCAGCATTCTCAGAGGCGAGCAGAACTCTAGCAAAAAACACAAGGTACCTTTTCCTTGCTTACTTGGACCTTATGCATATTAGCATGTTAAGAGATGTGGCTTATTTAGCATTTTCCTTTTCCTTTTTCAGATTGACATTGGTCTACTGCATGGCAATAGTCAGGTGATTTTTGAGAAAGCGGAGAGCTCGTCTGTCAATTTGATTGGTAAGTGTTTAACCTGCAAATTCTCATGATTCTTATGAATCTGATATACACAAGTTTAATCACATACACATACACATTTATTTACCATTTAACAGAAAAAAACAACAGCATAATAAAATAATGAACTTCCCGGTACCTTGCAGAAATGACTGCCACTTATATTCTTAAATGTCTGTTAGCATCCTACCAGTGTCAGTTTTTATGAACTGTTTCACAAACTCCAAAAGACCTAATATTTTAGAATAATTTGTTTAAATGTAAAATATAATATACATGATCACGTTCATTTACATTTAAGGTTTTTTTTACAAACCTTACCTTTTTGTATAGCAATATTATTTATTTTATTCATATATTACAATTGAACATCAGCTAAATAATTTTATAAAGGCTCAAAAATAATGTAATCTGTCAGCTCAATGAGCCTTTTTAAAGATTATTTCTTATTAAAAGTAATGACAGAACACAGAAAAACTTTTGCAATTAATATTGCCAAAATGTTTTCATCCATAGTACCACTTTTTTTCAATTTTTAAATGTACAGTGCCATGCATATTTTTATAAAATAACAGGCAATAAAAACAGATTGCAAAAAAAAAAAATATATATATATATATATATATATAAGGTATGTAATAGATTAATTCAAAATAATTCATCTGTTAACTTTTATTTCTGTCCTGTGGCTAGTTTTGTCCAGTGGTTTACTTGAAACGTTAACAGGTTTCAAATAGTGTAACAACCAAACTGCACCACTAGATGGCAGTCAAAACACATGTGTTTTTACCCACACCTGCTGTACCTCATGGTACTGTTACTCTACATGTTTTACATGTCAATTCATTTTACATATGGAGAAGTTAATTATATTAACTTGCATCTTAGCATTTGTTTTTGCAAATTATTCCACAGGAAAAGCAAAAACCAAAGGCTCTCGTCAGTCTATAATCAACCCAGACTGGAACTTTGAGCGCATGGGCATCGGGGGCCTGGACAAGGAATTCTCAGATATCTTCCGTCGGGCTTTTGCTTCACGAGTCTTTCCTCCAGACATAGTAGAACAAATGGGTGAGTCTTTGATTTTGACTGGCTGTATCACTTTAAAAACCTTTATAAGGAATCACTTTGTGTACCAGGTAAATCAGGTCACATCAGTGTCACTAGTGGTAAAAAAGTTTAGTAAAGGTGCATTTGCCCGTATTTTTGATTTTCTTCCTCTGCATCTCTTTCTGTTTAAGTTTACAGAAGCACAACATGATATGGCCGACTTGAATCACAAAATGTTGTGACTCTAGTTGAAGAAAAAATGAAAAAGCCAAGTGAAATAAGATGGCTATAAGAATAGACATACAGCGCTCAGACCTTCCCAGCACTTGATCCTTACCAGAAATGAAAATTGCTTAAAGTTATACTCGATCCTGACAGAACATCCGCATGTTGTCTTCACTTTTGCTGTTGGCGTACAGTCAAAAGCCTAGTTTGAATTATATTGTCAGACTGCAATCTGATTGTATATTTATGATTTATGTTCACCCTCTAAACAGATCAACAATTGTTAAAGATGCTATCCAGCAGACTAATTCCCATCAGATTGACTCCTGCAGCGAAAGTATTATAATCATTTGCAGTTAAAGCTGCTGTCTGCATTCCATTCCCAGCTTTTAGGCACTTGGGTCTCTTTAGTGAGTAATTATGAACAAGTGTTCTTATTTGCGTGCAAAAAAATGTTCTCACCCAGAAGTTCAGATGGATTATGAACAGGTGTTTATTTTGACGAATCCTAAATGATCATGTCCACTGCTAAAAACTAGCACGATGCCATGCAGAACACTTACCTATTATCAGAGCATCTATTATAGGCTTAACAACCACCCAGAATTCTGTAATATGGAGTAAGCTTTTAGCTTTGCACCCAATAATGTCCTAATTGATGTACACCCTGATAATTCAAATCTCTTTTTTTGGTTTGAATTTTGCCATAAGAATTTAGTAGTTGCTTTGCACACAATTAGTTTTGTTAGTTGGTATGTTTTGTTGAATCTCAACGAAATGTATATCCACATGTTAAGTCGTGACGTATGGAGTACTGTTTCCGAGTCCAAGTACTGCTACTCATTTGAATTGAGAAAATATTTGTTTATGACCACTTTGTTGTCATATCAAACATTAAAGTGAAAATCATGTTGCACACAACAGTCTCTGGACTTTCTGCATCACAGACATCAATATTTTAAAAATTTATAAAAAAAAAAAAAAAAATCACTTTCTGGCCATCGGATATTAGGCATATATTAGACATCATTTTCGAATGCATTACATCGCTTTGTAAACGTTTATTATTACCATGTGTTGAGTCTCCCCATTCGGACTGATAGAGCGTTTGGACCCAGAACCCGCTTTGTGTGACATCACACGTATTGTCTACATAACAGTGAAAAGTTATTCAGTAAAAAGTGTTCCTTGTTTACATTATGTCTGCCAAATGTAACTTGTATAAAGTGAAAAGTAATGGTCATAGTACTGAGCCTTGTGTTATTCCATATCAAACTTGTAAAGGATACGGTACATCTTAATTTATTCATTCATTCATTCATTTTCTTGTCGGCTTAGTCCCTTTATTAATCCGGGGTCACTACAGTGGAATGAACCGCCAACTTATCCAGCAAGTTTTTACGCAGCGGATGCCCTTCCAGCTGCAACCCATCTCTGGGAAACATCCACACACACATTCACACACACACTCATACACTACGGACAATTTAGTCTACACAATTCACCTGTACCACGTGTCACATGAACATGCAAACTCCACACAGAAACGCCAACTGAGCCGAGGTTCGAATCAGCAACCTTCGTGCTGTGAGGCGACAGCACTACCTACTGCGCCACTGCCTCGCCCACATCTTAATTTAGTGCTACCATTTTTTAATGGTTAGAAAAGAATAATTTCAACCATAGCAATGCAATTCCACAAATACCAGCATGATTTTCTAACTTGTCCATGTTGATAGAATCAAATAGTATCAAATGCTGCACTAAGGTCTAGTAAAGCTATTAGCAAATTGCAACCACAATCAGATGGTTAAAGCAAGTAAAATGGTCTAATCTCACACTGGAATTCTCTTCATATACATTTTTTCCCCCAGAACGATACTAGTTGTGAACATTTTTATAGCTACCATCTACCAAAAGAAGTAGGGCAAGAAAAGTAATTGTCCAAGTAGTAAGCCTTGCATTACTCTATATCAAACTTGTGATCGATTCTCTACCATTTACTTTCATTTACTGTCACAAATTGATAACTGTGAGATAATTATGATTTAAGCAACAGGAATGTAATTCCATAAATACCAACAATTTTAAGCCTAACCAAGTTAAAGGTAACAAATAATATCAAATGCAGCACTGAGGCCCAGTAATGCTGTTAACAAATTGCAACCAAGTTTAGATTATAAAAGCAAGTAATATGGTCTCGCACTTCTTTGCAGATATCAGTTCTCTCTGAGAATGAACATAGTTGCGAAGATACCCCTTTTTCACTTCTAATAGGACATTTGGTCAGAAAATTTGGTCTGCAGTTTGCTAATTCTAATCAAGTTGCGTTTAAATAAGATGCTTAATAACAGAAGATTTTTGAGGGGATAAATCTTAATAAAATGACCATCTACCAATGGATTAGCAACCCCAGAACACTCTAGCAAACACAGAGAACACCCTAACAAGTGTATACCCCTGCTTTAGCAACCAACTTCCAATGGTCTAGCAAAAACCTGTAGCAGAAGAGTAAATCTTCAGAGCTGACTAGTTTTCAGCTGATTTAACACTACAGATATGATTGTGCTTTTAAAGAAAAGCAAGTCTAATGCTATTAAATCGTAAAGCATTTAAACAAGGTTCATGCAAGACAGAACAAACAGTTCTGAAGGCATATTCTTGTAATCTGTCAGATGATTTGATCATGTCTACACACACTCACAGAGAGCTATTTGTGTGTGTGTGTGAGATGACCTTTTGTGGTGTGAAGGCTGCAGGAGTCGGCCTCTGGCCCGGGCAGCTGCCTGCTCTAATGAGATGGCGGGTCTTGATAGCACAAAGGTGAGCACCTAATTGGGCTTGGTTTTTGGAGCCCAGGTGCTGAAGGAAGGTGCGGCTGTGCGTCTGAGTATGTTATTGTCTTACAGCACTTGGGTGGGAGTTTACACCAATAGACCCAGTTTCTCCCAAAAACTCCCACCACCTAAAGGTCATCTCAGTCTGTCCATCCATGGCTTCGTTCTTCTCCTCCATAAAAGGTCTGAACATCTACCCTCCCTCAACCTGAGTCTGTCATCAGGTGTAAATGGCTATGCTGATTCTGATCTCAGGCCTGCTGGTTATCTCCAGCCTTCCCGCTCAGTCCAAATGGCAGCCAGCAGATGTTGTTAACCAAAAACAGGCCTCTTGTCTGAGAAATGCCACTGCTCATCAAAAAGACCTGTGTGCTACTTTGAAAACACTTGATTTGGACACACGAGATTGTTTTCCATTACATTAGAACAGAATATGTCCTCTTTATTAGTTTGTTTTTCTGTTTAACTACCAACAAAAATTATTCATATATAGAACAAAGTCCTTTTATAACATAAAGTTGCAGACCAAAACAGTAATTAATTGTCATTTTACACTTTTCAAACTTTTCCACTATCATTCAAACCCCTGTTTTACTCCTTTGTAAGCAATGGTCTTTTTACATATATTTTATTTATAACGGTTTTTTAAAACTACAAAGCAGAACATAAAACATTTATACCAACTATAATACGTTTTATAAAAATAATAAGGTAAAATAACAGAAAAAATAAACAAGTGAATAATATAAAAAACTAACAACAAGAAGTAATAATTAAAACAAAAAACAAAAACAAGCACCAGTCTATCCAAACATGCACCATGCACCATATAGGGTAAATAATATACACCATTAAGTTTTACTTCATCGAACTCAGAACATTAAAGAGTGAAATTGTCCTTGAATCATGCCCTACTTTCAACTCTTAAAAAGATAAGCAAAGACAAGGCCCCAGATTTTTTCAAACTTTTTAGAAGCATCTGCCCTAACAAAACAAATTCTTTCAAGCTTAAGAGCAGCAAACATTTCAGTCAGCCATTTATGAAAAGTAGGTGGTAAAGCGGATTTTCAGTTCATCAAGATCACCCTTTTAGCCACCACCATACCAAACACGATAAACATTTGCTGATTATGTGACCATGCTAACACAGGGTCAGAGCATCCAAACAGGGCTAATTCAATATCTGGACTAATGATTTCTCCTAAAATATTTCAATAAAACTGAAAAATGTTTTTCCAGAGCTCCGAGATCTCAGGGCAAAACCAAAATCTGTCTTTGCATCTTGCATCTGTCACATAACGGGGAAACTGAAGGGAACATTTTATTGAGTTTAGTTATGGTATAATGTAGCTTATGTACCACTTTAAACTGTATGAGTTGTAATCTTGCATTGATAGAACAGGTATGCTTCAGCCTCTCTTCCCAGGTATTATTTGAAATGTTAATTCCAATATCCTCTTCTAATGCCAATTAATTGTGATCAGAAGAGACCGCAAATTGGTAGACGAACAAAGAAACAAACCGCGTCACCAGATATTTGGCCATAGGAGGTTTACACAAAATATTGTATATATTATGGCCCTGGGGCAATTCTTGAAACTCAGTAAAAGAATGTTTTATGTACCTGTAAATAGTGGTAAAATTGTGACTGGAAGAGGTTAAAAGCTTTATACAGCTGTTGAAATGAATGTAACAAATATCCCATCTATATAAAAATCTTTGTCTGTGGTCAGTCCTTTTTAATTGTCCATTGTGAAAATATCTTCTCTGTCTGGCTAGGTAAGACGTTTAAGAAATTATTAAGTGACATTTGCACCGAGGGGCATGTAAAGTTCAATGTACAATGTATTCTTCATTTAATTCAAAGTATTAATAGAATTGAGCACTAAGCAGTGATCTTTAATGATTTTAAATATAAATCAATTAAGTATGGTCAAAAAGTGATCAAAATTTATAATGAATATATATATATATATATATATATATATATATATATATATATATATACACACACACACATACATACATACATACATACATACATACATACACATACATACATACATACATATATACATACACACACACACACACACACACACACACATATATATATATATATATATATATATATATATATACATATATATATATATATATATATATATATATATATATATATATATATATATACATTTATTAATATATACATTTATTAACATACACATTTTACATGCATTTAACGAAACAAAAAGCATTCAGTATAGCTGTAAATTCATAATCATGGAACCCAAACAACATGCATACATATGACCGGAAATTATATCACATAGAGCCTTTATACAGACCTTTTTGTCCTTCATTAAATTTCTACAAGCATGTGTGAAATAAATTTTACTTTTTAATTTAGCTTTCTCTCATTGTTATTCTTTTGGTGAACCGTTAATCCTTGCATGTTAACCTACTGAATAAAAATATTTGTTTTGGTAATCATCACCGAACAATGTCTGACCATTTTTGTGTTTGAATTGTTGGTCCTTCTCTGTTGATGTCAGTTTGATGGCTTCAGCCATGAAATTCTTAACCTCTTAACGTTAGTTTGCTACTAGAGAAGGATATTCAAAAAGAAAGCCCCCCCCCTACTTCTTTTTCAGTTAGAAGTACATCAATAAACTGAAATAAAAGTCTCAGTAAAATCCAATTCTTGCAGACCTGAAATGAAAACTAGGGCTGGGTCGATAAACAATATTATATCGAATCACGATAAAATATTTGTGAATAACAATGATAAGCACTGCACTTTTTTACTTTATAATGATCTAAGAGCCAATCATACAGCAGAAATGTGCAACAATGAGAATTGGAAAGTGTGTTGATATTAGAGATGGAAGGAATTTTCAGCCATCGAAAAATTATCGGACGAAAGGTTTATGCAATTTAATGGACCCTCTAATTTTTGTATCTTCAGTCATTGTTGGCATACTCTCTTAAATCTGGAAGCATTTATAGCGAAATATATATTGTTATAGTTCAATATGGAAAATAGTTATCGAGATTGCATTTTTGCCATATCACCCAGCGCTAATGGAAACATTTGTAAATACCAAAAGTACTTTAAAACTATATTATAACAAAATGAATACCATTGTGACACTTTTTTTTTTCTTTTTCTTTTTGCGAGCGCCCTTTATATTCAACTATATTATTCTGTGATCATGCTTCAGCATTCCTCAACCCCTTTTCTCTTTCCTTAGGTTGCAAGCACGTGAAGGGAATCTTGCTGTATGGACCACCCGGCTGTGGTAAAACCCTAATGGCACGGCAGATTGGAAAGATGCTGAACGCCAGAGAGCCAAAAGTGGTCAACGGGCCAGAGATTTTGAACAAATACGTGGGAGAATCGGAGGCCAACATCAGAAAGCTATTCGCTGATGCTGAGGAGGAACAGAAGAGGGTACGAAACCAGAGATGGCATTTTGTGCAAATTATTCAACACATTGCACGCTTGGGGAAAAAACTTGTGTTGTTTCCATGCATTCACAGACTTTTTTGCACAACCTTACATTCATCTGGCTCTGTGACGGAACCCGCCGATATTTGACACGTTAAAGAAAGGTTCCTCTGTCAACAGTCAAAAAATAAAAACTTTTTTGGGGTTTGCACAAAGGATGCTGTTCCCAGTTTTGGGTGCTCCAGCTGCTCTACAAATAACTCCAAATTGCTGAAATATACTTACCGAATTACTGTAAATGGCCTTGTGTTTGCTTAGAAACATTATCATAGTTTGTTTTTTCCAAGAGTGATGTGCTGGCAGAGATCTGCTGGTTCTGGCTGTGTTGCGAGTGTGATGTTGTGCTGGTAGACTGTGTGACTACATGACATTGAAGAGATCACTCGGCACCTCTTAATGAGAGCATTCGGCTATCTGTAACCCCTCACCCTGACTCACGGGAGGCCACGCACACTCATACTGGCCTCCCATCTGCGCTAAATGTTACGGCCTTGCCTCTCACTGCCTCACAGATGAAGAAGATAAGGCCTTATTGTGGACCACTGTCACCGAGTTTATTTAGTACCAGTGCATTCGCCAGCTTGGCATTTAAAGGGATAGTTCACCCTAAAATGAAACCTTTCTCACTGTTTACTCGTTTTCAAAGCTTTCTGAGGTGCTTTCTTTTGTTAAACACTAAAGAAGATGTTTTGAAGAATACTGAAAACCTGACACCCACAGTAGATAAAACAAATACTATGGAAGTCAATGGTTGCAGATTTCTAACATTCTTCAAAATATCTTCTTTTGTGTTCAACAGAAGAAAGGAAGTCAAGGTTTGAAACATAATGATGATGACAGAATTTTCAGTGTTGGCTGATCTATTTAAAATGAGAGATTAAGAGAATTATATACAGAAAGTTTTAAAGATCATATTAAAATCACAATCATATTCAAAATCTGGATATATGTTGATGTACTGATTTATAATATATTGTTTTATGATATATTATATTACTCGTTTTTGAAGAAAATCCTTTCAATAAATATTTTATCTTTGGTTATATCAGTACATTTATATCCTGAGCTTAACTCAAAGTAATTTTGCTGTCCAGTGTATGTGGATATTTACTATTCAGTGTGCTTAAATTAAATGAATTATTTACTATTCAATTGTGATGTTTGTTTGCGTATTCAACAACAATTGTTAACTAAAAACTAAAATTCAAAAATTAAAAATTCTTAGGAATTCCAATTCCGAAACCGAAAAATTTAAGCTAAATAGAAAAAAACTACATAGATAAATTAATGATCAAATAAATAAACTAATAAACTAATCAGACTAAACACTAAACACCACTAGAAACACACTAAAGTTAAAATAAAAACTTAAAATAGAAAACTTTTTTGATTTAAAAAATATACTTAAATCTAAAACTACTATTAAAACTTATTTTATTTGTTTATTTCACAATTAAAAAAATAATAATATTAGTCTAGTATTAGTTAGTTAATCTGTATTAGTCAGTTACTTATGTAATACATTTGGTATTACCGTATTTTAATATTAATATTACAAGTGTGCTTTATTTGACAGTGTTATAACATTACATTAACAATAAGTGGGAAGTTATTAAATAACTTTTTATGTTTTTCTTCTGCTTTTGAAGTTGGGGGCCAACAGCGGCCTGCACATCATTATATTTGACGAAATTGATGCCATTTGCAAACAACGTGGCAGCATGGCAGGCAGCACAGGGGTCCATGACACTGTAGTGAACCAGCTTCTGTCCAAGATCGATGGTGTAGAGCAGCTCAACAACATCCTGGTTATTGGTAAGAACTTCCTGTGAGATTATAAAAACTGTACACTAAACTTGCACTATAAAAATGCATACTTCCATATTTATTGCATTTATTTTCTGTTTAAGGCATGACCAACAGGCCTGACCTGATTGATGAAGCTCTATTGAGGCCGGGTAGATTGGAAGTCAAAATGGAGATTGGTGAGAATCACAGTAGCTGAGTTGAACCAAAATATTACTGCTCAGTATTTGAAATGCAATATTTTATTGCATGATGTTATGTGTCTTAATGTAGTTATTACATGTATTACATGTAGTCTTAATATGTTTGATATCATAGCAAAAATAATAACAAAAAAGCAACAAGAACAATGTTTGCTCAACATAAAATAATCAGCATAGCAAAACTTTCAACAATTTACAAAAAAGTTATAAAAAAATGTGTGTATATATATATATATATATATATATATATATATATATATATATATATATATATATATGTATATATATGTATATATCATTCATTCATTCATTCATTCATTCATTTTCTTGTCGGCTTAGTCCCTTTATTAATCTGGGGTCGCCATAGCGGAATGAACCGCCAACTTATCCAGCAAGTTTTTACACAGCGGATGCCCTTCCAGCCACAACCCATCTCCAACCCATTTTTTGTTATTAACCCTTCTCTGAAATTTTAATTATTTTTCTGTAATTTCCAAAGTGATGTTTCCAAAGTATCCTGCAAAATAACTAGTAAGATATTATGTATTTTACTTTGATCATGGCAAAGACAAACAAAATTAGTTATTAGAAATTTGTCATTAAAATTATTGTTAAAAAATGTATTGAATAAAATATTCTTTACATTAAAAAGCTTAGGAAATATTTGAAAAATTGGAAAAATAAAAGCTTTGACTTCAAGTGCGTGTACATGTATTGTTTTTCTCCAGGCTTGCCTGATGAGACGGGTCGTGTTCAGATCCTAAATATCCACACGGCAAAGATGAAGCAGTCAAACATGCTGGCCAAAGACGTTGACGTAAAGGAACTGGCTGTCGAGACCAAGAACTACAGTGGAGCAGAGCTGGAAGGGCTTGTTCGGGCTGCGCAGTCCACTGCCATGAACCGTCACATCAAGGTCTGATCTCAAATATTTCATCCAGACTGCACTTTCACCGTCAGAACTAATTATGGTTATTTCAACGTGGTTGACCAGTTCTGAACTTTGTTCTTGGTTGGAAATTATCTCAATTCACAAAAATTGTTGATAATGCAAATACAAAGCAGTTTACATAGGATTACAGTGATGCTGGGGAAGAGACATTTTAATGTTGTCTAAATGCTGTAGTTCATTTTAAATACAAGAAAGGATTGTGTCTGTGCTTGAGGCATTGGTGATTGTGAAGTTAATTTGATTGCTTATATATCTTTTTAAATATCCAAAACCCTTAAAAAAGCGTTAGATATTTTGCTGATCTATGTACTGTATGAACATTATACTCAATGTTTTGAAGAATGTTGAAATCCAGAAAAATAAGACATTTATTTATTAGGTATATCCTGCCACTATCTTCGGGCTGGGCCGTGATAAAGCATTTGTGTGTTTTTTTAGGCATTGCTTAATTAGCCTAATTGCGTGGAGACCTATACACAAACTTGTATTGAAAGCATTCGAATACTTTCATAGTGTTTGTGCTCATATAAGACAAAATTATTTGTGTTTAAAATTGAAGACAGCAGGATGGACATGTTTACATATTATTAGGTGTATTTGTCTGTTTAAAAACGCACTCAAATCCTAAAGCATTCACTTTTGCTCATCTTCAAATCACATGTACAGAAGTTGATATGAGAACAGTGTCTTATACGGATCGCATCTTTCACACTAGCTGCACCTGCAGTGCGCAGCTGATTGTCTGCTGCTACACAGATCGATCTAGCTTTATTCTATATATTTACCTATCTATCTGTATATATAAATACACTTTTTACTTTTCATCTGCACCAAGGCCTGCAGCAACGTCCTGTGTGTGGATTTTGTTGGATTGTTGAAAGTTGGATTTAATTTTTTGGGCTCGATCTAAGCTCTACATGTGCAACAATGCAACAATAAAAGAGCCAGTAGGTGGCAGCACTTTACTGTTTTAATGAGTCAGTAATTGTATCAAGTCATTTCAATGATTTGTTCAAATCAGTTCATTCATTTAGAATCAAAACAAGTGACAAAAAGAATGTAACAGTGAAGCATTGGCTGTGTCCAAAACTGCCTACTTCTCAGTAGGTACTGTATTTGAATTTAAATGTACTACTCGGCGTTAGAAAAGTACGTTCTATGTACGTTCTATACAATATGAATGTGAGCAGAATAAATAGAATTTGGATGTACTACATCTGCCTTTTTGTCATGGTCATGTGACCTACCCCCGTCAGTTGCGTTGCAGGGCATCATAGGATAGTGCAGTGTGCATGGGATGCACACTTTAGATCCTTGCCGGAAGTAGTAGGTTATCCGGGTTCTTTTTGCATACTGTTTTTCGAATTCTATGAATTTGGACATACTACTCGGCTTGCATACTGTTTTTAGCGTCCTATATAGTATGGAAGTATGCGGTGTTGGATGCAGTCATTCACTTAAAGGGGTAATTCACCCAAAAATAACATTTCTGCCATTTTTTTCTTATTGCAAGTCAATGGTTACTGGTTTCCAATATTCTTCATAACATATTCTTTTGTGTCTTTTAAGTCAAGGGTGAGTAAGCAATGACAGAACTTTCTTTTCTTTTTTTTTTTTACTTTCCTTTAAATGACTCAACCAGAATGTCTTTAACTTCTTGTTTATTGATTTCTTTTGTATAAAATTAATATCAAACTTCTATTGACACTTCTGTCAAATTTAAAAATACAATATTACTTTTTTAGCTGCATTTTAATAGGCTTCATGGAGCAGTGAATCCTTTCACACTGTTTTCCAGTGACATTTATACAGTACATGAACAACAGTTGCCATTTTACTAAACATGATAACTATTGCACATCCCTAGCTCTGTAAGTGCATATATATCTTTAAATTGCTGGACAAACTGTGTGTCTGAGTGAGTGGCACAGCATATTTGATAGTGTGGACACACAATGCTCCAATGTTTGATGAAGCTTACACTAGTGTGATGGGTCTCTCTTACTCTCACACTTCATAACATTTCTTGTTGATTAAGTGAATAAGCTTGAGGATCAACCCGTGTGTGTGTTTGTGCTTCTATAGGCCACTACTCAGGTAGAGGTGGACACAGAAAAGGCTCAGACTCTGCAAGTCAGCAGGAGTGACTTCTTGGCATCTCTGAATAATGACATAAAGCCTGTAAGTTTACCCTCCATTATTGTGGATTCCGTTTTGCATAATATTACACTGTAAAAAATTCTGAGGTTCCACAAAAATCCTCCATGTTGTTCTAACACGTAGTTAAGACTTAATTGCTTTTACAAATTTAAGTGGGCTGAACATAAAATTATTAAGTGGTCCCTAAAAATCGGAATAATGTTGTTTCAGCTCTTTTAAATAGGTCGTTTGATCAGGCAGCAGAAATAATGTTTTTGAGTGTATGTTGACTTCAAACTAGGGCTGCACAATATATAAATTTAGCATCAAAATAATCGAAATAGTCACATTGCAGGCTTGTCAATGTCAGGTTGGGATTATAGTTGACGAGAAACTGCAGTAGATAAAGTTATAGAAACAGAATTAACAGTTCAGAACACATTCAATTCCTTTTATCTTTCTTTCTGTTGTTCTTTTTCAATGTAAATTGTGTCAAACATAGGTGAAGTTCTAATAAATTAAAACTGCTTCAGTCTAGTTTTCTCTGTTGAAATTCAGTTTAGATTAGTTCAGTGTAATGTAAATGTTACTGCTGAAAGCCGAAACACATGCAACAGAAAATAGAGATGCAAATTTAATCCTAATATAGGGAAAGTTTTTCTTTTTTTAAAGCCTGTGACTATGTCGGAATTCAATTCAACCATTTGGGTACTAGAAATGATAAAACTTGTAGCTTTAAAAAAAGATTAATTGTATTTAGTTTTTTTTCCAATGAAGTAGAAATCAAAATCATGAAATCAGACAAGAATGGGCATTGTCAGATCATTTTAAGACAACTTTAATGAAGGGTTTTGATCCAATTCAAATGTTTATTCCTGTATTCAGTGCTACTTTATACTTGATCATTTAATTTCTGTACCTCAGTACTCTCCAGAAAACCATAAAGCACCTTTGATTTCATTTGTATCTTTTCCCCATTGTATTAATTTATGCTTGTAATTAGTTTATTATATTTTATGCAGATGCACTGACTCCCTATCTGCGTGAAATGATGAATTCTTTTCAAACAAATTTATTTTAGATCATCTTGTGAAATTATGTTCATATTGTGCAGTTCGTCCAAACCACCTGATTAGATTTGATGCAGACATACTTCATTACTGGCATCAAATCTGGTCCACTTTGCTGTTTTTTTTGTTCACAAACCACACATTTACACATGAGGTGGCTATTATTTTACATTCATCATGTAAATGAATTATTTTGTGAATTCTACACTTTTGAATGAGTCACTTGAGACTGAAACTAAAAAATGTTGTCAAAGTATTATGATATGTCATTATTCTTAATTTCAGCAGTAAATAAAGTGATTAATCATTGTTTAATGATTTAATCATTTCTTTCTGTTTTTATCCCCCTGTTAAGGCATTTGGTAGTAATCAGGAGGATTACTCCAGTTACATCATGAACGGTATTGTGAAATGGAGCAATGCTGTGTCTGACATACTGGGAGACGGAGAACTTCTGGTGCAGCAGACCAAGAACAGTGAACGCACACCCCTAGTTACTGTTCTATTAGAGGGCAAGTCTTATACAAACAAACACAAATACAGTGTTAGCTAACTGAAACTAACTAACTAAAATCAACCAACTAACTGAAATAGTGATGTTGCTAATCAATGGCAGGTGTTTTGTGTTGTGTTTTCATGTTTTGTGTGTGAAATCCTTTTTCCTTAAACCTAGAAATACTTGATTTAACTTAAGGACTGGTCTAGACATTGAATTGAGTACAGATGCCTGTGTGGTTTATTGCTTGGTTAATTATTCGGATGAATTGTTTGCTAAATCGGAGGTTTTTTTGCTGAAGTTGAGGTCAGTTTTGAACAAAATAATTGTGCTGCCAAAGTTTTTAAAATTGATGTCAATATATTTAAACAAAATAATAATAATTAAATAAAATAATTAAATAAATATTATCATGAGGTAATATTGCTATTGTGATGACACTGTTTAACTATAAAAAAATAATGAAAGGGTTATTTAGTAAGAATTTAAATATTTATTTGCTTAACCAATTAATTAAGTGTCAATCTTTTTTTGTACATAAAATAAACCTGGAATTATCCTGACAAACCATCATATCATAAGCAGATATCATATGTCATTTTCAAGTTTATACCCAAAAAGTGACAAAAAAGAGAGTTTAGTTTACAGCTGTACTTTCACAATATTTATATGTATGCTTCAGTTTCTTCGTATTTTATGTTAAAAGCTTTTTTGACAATATCTGCTCATATGAGTGACACTTAGTGCTCCTAAATCTTATAAATGACCCAAATTCAGAGCAGATGCAGAAATTGAGTTTGTGTGGAACAGCAACATTTTTCTCTGAACAAGCATCTCTGTCACATTTTTCTCTGAACAAGCATCTCTGAGTCACTGAACACACTGGGTCATGAACTACTTGTATCTATTTAATTAAACCACTGCCATTGCATAATAACAATTGCACTAATCTAACAATTTCCATTAAAAAATTTAGAAATTGTTTAGACCTACAATAAATAATTACTCTCTGAGGTAGAATAGAAGTTACAATATGTAATAGAATAACCTAAAAATAACTCTCCAATAGCTCCAAGGTTCAAGACCCCCTCGAGTACTTTTTTATAGTTTTGTTTGTGCTAAGCATCAGTTAAGACAACGTTAGCACCTGTTCGCTTTAAGTTCGGGTAAATTTCGATTATTTTGAGCTTTTGTGATCTAATTTCTAGCTTTTGTGAGCTAAATAAATTTAAAAATTTATTTTTTAAAATAATTTTTGGGCGGGATTAACATTGCTGACGTAGCGCGAATCCGAGTGATGATGCATCGGTTTTCGTTGTTACTCATAGACAAAGTTTTCTTATCCTCATGACTACACGAGCATTCCGCTGACAAACTAATATGGACATACCATAGACCCACCAATCTGTGCGACAGTGTGTGACACGACATGCAGTATTTAGCCGTTTATTAAGGGTTTTATGTGTTTGTTTTCATGATCCACGAAGTATGTTGCATGGCTTTCTCTGCGATACTGTCTGGGCCACCGATACAGCCAATCTGTTTGTGTGCAGCAAGCATTTTTGTTGGAAGAGCTGAACGAGAATTGGAGAAGGGCAGACTTTGTTTTTTATCAGTTCAGTTAGTTACCATTCAGACACATCACCTATATCCATGCTGCTGCGTTCACACTTGTTTAAAATCTTCAGATTACCGGCAGTGCTAATGGTTGGAACAGGGTAAAATACCTGCTGTTCTGCTATCCATATTGTTATTCAGACTCGGGGATTCAGGAAGAAAGAAGTCCTCATTTATAGTGTTTATATAAACATGATTATCTTTATAATGGTATAACAAATTGTTGATATAACTAATAACAGGGCATTAAATTATTTGCCATTTATTTTTTTGCAATTTAACTTGAGCCAACTGACAAAAGTGACGCCCACTCCTCCCTCTGCTTGCAGCGCTCCACGCCCATCCTGAAGCATTTTTGGAAAAAAAGAAGGTAGACTTAAACTGGAAGAGGCAGGTTTCATGGTCCTTTAGAGGGATAATTCACCAAAACAAATGAACATTCTGTCATCATTTACTCATATTTCACTTGTCACAGACCTGTTTGAGTTTCTTTTTTTTTTCTGCTGAATACAAAGTTAATTTTGAAAAAACTTGGAAGCTGGTAACAGTTGACTTCCATAAGAAATATTTTTCCTACTATGAGTGTCAATGGTTACCCATTTCAACTATTCGTCAAAAAAAAAAAAAAATCATCAAAACAAAAAGAAACTGAGAATGTTTGGAAAGGTAAATTATGAGTAAATAATTTGTTTTTGAGTGAACTATTCTTTTAAATATAATTAGTTATATTTTATATCTGTTATTTTTGAAAACTGAGTAGCGGATTGTAGATGACATTTAAATTACAAGTAATGTATAGCTTGATGTTACAGTACACACACGCTGCTCTCACATCTACCCAAAGGCTCAAAAAATAGCATTCTTTCCTGCTCTTGTTCTCTTTTTCACACAAGCAAACACGCACCAAAATGCTGCAATCTGATATGACTGAGAGTGTGAATGTTTCTCTCTCAGGGCCTGCTCACAGTGGTAAGACCGCACTGGCGGCCAAGATTGCAGAGCAGTCCCAGTTCCCCTTCATCAAGATCTGCTCTCCAGACAAAATGATCGGCTTTACAGAGACCGCCAAATGTCAGGCCATAAAGAAGGTAACAACCTTGTATATGTGGATTAAGGCATTAGCAGACCCATGCTTGAAAGCACTTGTTACAGATGTGATGTTCCAGCCTTTGACCTTTAATAGTGACTTAATTGTTTTTCTCTCTTTAGATATTTGAGGATGCCTACAAGTCTCAGTTGAGCTGTGTGGTGGTGGACGATATTGAGCGACTGCTGGGTGAGTTCATTAGTGTAAATTATCTCACTCTATCTCTTTTTATGATATTTATTGGCTTTTGGTTTGTCATGGATAAATGAATACGACATTTAATGCCGAGTTCAGACTGCATGATTTAGCCCCGAATTTGACTTGCCAACAGGTTTTGAGAAATTACAGAGAAATGCCTGAAACCACAGCCAAATCAGTGCTCGTTTACATGACTAACAATCACACAGTGTGAACTATCAAAGATGCAAGAGCCCTGAGAGAATCGCAGATTCAAATCATGCTGTGTGAAATGTGTTCTGATTGAAAATAACATCGGCAAATACCTACAGCCAGTGAGAAAGCAGCACCCACTACTATGGGTATCTGCAGGCCAGCGGGAGGTAGGGGAGAAGTTAAAAGGCCTTCTTTTTGGTCTATTTGGACCAAAGAAATGGAGGAAAAACTACTGTAAATTTGGTAGGAGCACCTGTGTCTGTTTGATGTGTCATGTGAGCAATATCATAACCGGGTTGAAAAAGAATTTTTTAGAGAAATTCCCTACAAAAGCCACTTAAGAAAAATATGTACATTTTCTACCCCACTAAAGGCTTCTTTATCATAATGTAGTTAGTTACAAAATATATACTACATGGCATTGCATTGTTACCATGTCACTTCTCGTGTGTGTTTGATTGTGAGCCATAGTTAGCGGACTGAGACAAGGTTGTCGGCAGTTTTCCTATTGCAAGTCATGCAGTGTGAAACCCCCTAAAAAAAAGTCTTTCAGAGTTTTATGGGAATGTGTCAAATAGTGATGAAAAGCACAACAATTAAAGAGAAGAGACATTTCATTTTTATATTCGTTTAAGGAAGAAATAATGACCAGCAGTCTGCAATGTAAAATGCAATTATAAAGTTTTCATATAAACAAAATTTGTCCTGCTTTTGTCTTATCACTGACACTATACATTCATTGGCCACTTTATTAGCTACATCTTAGTATCAGGCGTGACTCTTTTTGCCTTCAGAACTGCCTTAATCATTCATGGCATAGATTCAACAAGGAACTGGTCTAATTTCGCTAAAATTTGGGTCCATATTAACATGATAGCACTATTGGATTGAGAGCTGGTGACTGGAGTCCAGTTGAGTACAGTGAACTCATTGTCATGTTCAAGCCAGTCTGAGATGAGTCACGCTTTGACACGGCACATTATCCTGCTGGAAGTAGCCATCAGAAGACGGGTAGACTGTGGTCATAAAGGGATGAACATGGTCAGCAACAATACTCAGGTAGGCTGTGGTGTTAACACGATGCTCAATTGGTACTAATAGGCCCAAAGTGTGCAAAGAAAATACCCCCACACCATTACACCACCACTGACCTGAAGTGTTGATAAGAGGCAGTATGGATCCATGCTTTCATGTTGTTGATGCTACTATCCGAATGTCACAACCGAAATCGAGACATATCAGACCAGGCAACGTTTTACCAATCTTCTATTCTCCTATTTGTGTGAGCCTGTGTGAATTGTAGACTCAGTTTCCTGTTCTTAGCGCACAGGAGTGGCACTCGGTATAACCTTTTGCTGTTGTAGCCCATCCGTCTGAAGGTTGGATGTGTTGTTTGTTTAAAGATGCTCTTCTGCATACCTCAGTTGTAACGAGTGGGTATTGGAGTTAGTGTTGCCTTTCTCAGAAATTTGCGTTAATGAGCAGTTGGACATGTTTACCTAATAACGTGCTCAGTAAGTGTATATATGGATATAAGGACTAACATAGCAATTTTGAAATATCAGCATATTAATACTTAGATTATTTATTAATCCTGGGTTAATAGTAAGCTGTGTAAAGCAGTATATACTACCCAGGGCTTAGAATGAGCCAGAGTTAACTATTTCAAGCAATGTGCAGCCATGTATTATTATAGGGGCGCATGTAGGCCTCATTTTATCTTGTGAGGTTTTTAAATTAATTGATGGTTTACGTACCAAACTTGGCTTATGCTGTCTTCCATCATGTTTTTGACTTTACAGATTTTGTTCCCATCGGGCCTCGGTTCTCTAACCTGGTGCTGCAGGCTCTGCTGGTGTTACTGAAGAAACCTCCTCCTCGGGTGAGAATGATGTGTAATACTGGCATCCATAGACAGGGAGCAGCACCTTCTCTTACACAGAATAAAATGTGCTGGACAGAATATTTCACTCTGTAACTTTAGTCAATTTCACAAATTCAACTGAATTAATGTATCACTACATATTTTAAGTAAATTTAGGAAGAAGAGACACTATAAAAAGCATTCAGAAGTATGAGTAATATTTTATAGTATTTTATTTACACTTTAATGTAATATTTGCATTTAAGCTTTGTGGAGACACTCACTAAGTGTTCATATGCACATCAGAGTTATTTTAGTCTGCTATGATTTATAATTTAACCTCTAATGTTAGGGCTTTTTAAAACCTCTAACCCCAAGTATATTTCTAAACCAGTGTTTTCATACTGTGGTCCATGTAGGATTGCTTGTGGTCATTTATAAATAAAAATATTGACAGAAATTGCTAGTCAACTCATATCAGTCAAATAACTGACTCTGCTAAAATGTTCATGTGAAGATTTATTAATTTGTCTGTTATTTTTGCAATGTATTTAAAAAAAAACATTTTAAACATTATATATATATATATATATATATATATATATATATATATATATATTATATACATACATATATATACATATATACATATATATATATGTATATATGTATATGTATGTGTGTGTGTGTGTATGTATGTATAATGTATTTAAGGTATATATATATTTTTTGACAGTCTACAGAACAAACCATCGTTATACAATAACCTGCCTAATTAACCTAACCTGCCTATTTATCCAAATTAACCTGGTTAAGACTTTAAATGTCACTTTAAGCTGTATAGAAGTGTCTTAAAAATATCTAGTCAAATATTATTTACTGTAAAGATAAAATAAATCAGTTATTAAATGAGTTAGAAATGAGTTATTAAAACTATTATGTTTAGAAATGTGTTGAAAAAATGTTCTCTTTGTTGAACAGAAATTGGGGAAAAAATAAACGGGGGGCTAATATTTCAAGGGGGCTAATAGTTCTGACTTCAACTGTACATATTAAATGCTGTTCTTTCTATTTTTCAAGTAATTATGCAACTGATGTTTTAGTTTACACAAATATTCTGAGCAGGACAATTCATAACAATGGAAAATGTTTCATGAAATCATCTCAAATTCAGCTTCGCCATCATATGAATTAATTACATTTTCAAATATTTTAAAATAGTAAGTGTTATTTTAAATTATACTTTTGGTTTACACAACCACTGTACATCTTTGGTGAGAACAAAAAACAATCACAAGTATTAAAAAAGTATTCAGCAAAAATCAGTCCAATGTACTCGAAAAATGTGAAAAACATATTAAAAAGCCTTTATTGACACGGCTATTTCTTAAAACTCCAAGTTGTTTCTTGGCAAACAACTGCCTTTATCAGGGTAACAGCAATCATGTGCGTCTGGAGTTTCTTTTGAATACTTTTGAATGATCTCATTAGAATATCTAAACAATACTAAAATAATATATTGAACACAAGGTCAGCTCAACAATCATCATTAATTCAGCATTGAGAGAGGGAGAAAAAAAAACGTAATAGAAAAAACATTAATAAATAAAATAAAACAAATAAAAAAAAAATGTTGTATAACATTACATACATACACAACAACATATGTATTAAATAATACAACGTAGATGTAGGTAGAATGAAACCACAAAAAAAAAATTATATATATATATATATATATATATATATATATATATATATATATATATATATATATATATATATATATATACAAAATATGTACAGTTGAAGTCAGAATTATTAGCCTCCCTGAATTATTAGCCCCACTGTTTATTTTTTCCCCAATTTCTCTTTAACGAAGAGAAGATTTTTTTCAACACATTTCTAAACGTATTAGTTTTAATAACTCTTCCTAATAACTGATTTATTTTATCTTTGCCGTGATGACCGTAAATAATATTTGACAAGATTTTTTCTAGACACTTCTATACAGCTTAAAGTGACATTTAAAGACTTAACTTGATTAACTAGGTTAACTAGGCAGGTTAGGGGAATTAGGAAAGTTATTGTATAATGATGGTTTGCTCTGTAGACTATCGAGAAAAAAAAATAGCTTAAAGGGGCTAATAATTTTGACCGTAAAATAGTTTTACTTTGATTCTAGCCGAAATAAAACAAATAGGAAGAAAAAATATGATCATGAGACATACTGTGAAAATTTCCTTTCTCAGGTAAACATAATTTGGGAAATATATATATAAAAAAAACATTTCAAAGGGGGTTTTATAAGTTCTGATTTTAGCTGTAAATATAGACAAATAAACTAGTATAGTGTACAAATAAATGCAGATAAACATGCATGTACATAAACAAATACATACTTCCCGAAAGAGAACTGATATATTATTCAAGCTACATGTGAACACTTTTTGTTTGATTTTGTATTAAAAAATATTGTTGACCCAAACATTTGACAAAGTAATATGTTTAATAGTTTATATTTTACTAAAAGTGGTCAACCACTGGCTAAACTTGTCTTAAAGTGGTTAAACATTTACATATTACAGATATAAAACTTTATTACAGCTCATTGAATAGAGGTGTCTTCTGTCACATCACACTTTTCACAATTTTCACATTCTTTTGACCAAAACCACTAACCGAGTATCTGAGTTTTTGGCTACATTTGAAATATTTATCCGAAGCATTTATTGTTTTTGGCTGTGGCGATGTTTTTCTTGGTGAACAAGTCCCCCAACAAGCTCCTGTTGTGTCTTGCTGTCTGGTGGCAGTGAGTGTGTATGTCGTGCTGTGTTTATAAGGTGTTTTGAATAGCTGAGGGTCTTTTCCTCCAGATCAGGACTGTATAGAGCAGCTCTCAGTAGGGAGTCGGGTCTCGGGTGAGTCGATAGAAAGGGTTTGTGAGAGAGCCGAGACCTGGCAGGCCCGCAGCCTGTGTGGCACCTCATTTACATGCACTAGCATATAGTGGACACCACAGGGGGGCGACCCATAATCCCCTGTGCTCGCTGGGGCCTCTGGGAATGGCCCACCTCTTTACTACATGTAGCTGGGCACCATGGCTATACTAGGAGATCTTGAAAGTGAGCCAGTGAGAGATTCTGACCTTTAGTGTTGATTTGATATGATTTGATATGTTTGTTTGTTTGTTGATCCTGCAGGGTCGTAAGTTGTTGATTCTTGGCACAACTAGCAGAAAGGATGTCCTGCAGGAGATGGGCATGTCCGACTCTTTCAGCACTACAATCCACATCCCCAACATCTCTAGAGGAGAACATCTAATGGAGGCCCTGGAGGTTAGAGATAGAGGAATTCATAAGGGCCACATTTTCAGTTTGTTTCAATCAATCACAAGTGTAAAATGCTAAATATGGGTGAAGATTATTTAAATGTATTGCTTATTATCTGGATAAAGGCTTGAGGTTTATCGCTCATGCTTACCATGAGCATTTTTCAAGACATTTTTCGTTGTTTATACCCAAGCGATGTTAACACCAGGTTAAAACAATAATTAGTTTTGTCACGATTACAGGTTTCAAGGTAAACTACGGTCAGTTTGACCAGTTAAACCGCTTAAAGTGTGATTTAAGTCACATTAATCTTTTTTCTTTCAAACTATTTTTTACCATATTTGCTACATGAGGAATAAAGTCTGCTAGACATACTGATCAGAATTGTGTTCAGGCAGAGAAAACATTATTCATGTTTTTAACAAATTCCTAGACACAAGAAAAAAATATTACATGACAAGCTATACAGGGGTGCGTTTCCCAAACATGATGCAACTCGCAGCTGAACTATCATAGTACGATGCAACTTTTTGGAAAAGAACAATAAAGTGATGAGTGTTTCTGAAAACCCGTAGTTTCTCTCGCAGATCCATCGTTTGAACCACATTAGTTATAACGTAAAACGCCTATAATGATGCTGTAAACGAGGTGGTAACGACTTCGTTAGAGAAGAACCCCATAATTTCTTTGTGCAAATTATATTGTTTTAAGCGGACAAAGAAAAAAGAAAAAAAACAATATTAGTTTTGGTAAAAACATGCACTCGTTTTTCCATATTATTTTCCATATTTTTTCAATGGCACATATAGGGCCTATGTTTCCTTTGCAAATATTATTGAGGACATTACATGTTCTACTCTAAAACATAAAATCACTTACAAAAGCTAACACATATTCTAATCTCATATATAAATAAATAAATACTGAGGCTATTTATTAGAAATGAAATTTAAGATTTATTATTTATTAGGAAATGGAAAAAATCATACTTATATTAATAATATTGATGATGGTAATGATTATGATAATAATAATAATTATCATTATTATTATTGCTATTATTATTATTATTAAGTGGGATATTGTTTATTTATTTTTTATTTTTTGAAAAGTCTACTTTTACAACTTGACACATGCAAACCACTGCAGAAATGTTTTAACCAACAGACCCATGTCATATACAGTACAGATTCTAAATTAATAATCTACTACAAATTTAAACGATTAACGTATGCTATGTTTTTTTTTCACAAGCTTTGGAGACTTTTAACATAATTTCCACTTTTAAATAATAGGTCACCTATAGCTTTCAACATGAGCCACGGCTGTGTTCAAAATGACATCAATGTTTTCAAAGTGCACTGTGAAGGGAGCGCAATTGTAAACACGAAGATTGCTAAAACTGAACTGAACTGATCTGTAAAAACACTTTGAAAGCAAATCACGCCTAAGAGAGATGACTTTAATGTTTTTTTTTCTTTTTTCTTGTTTTTTTTTATAATTCTAAGTTTAAATGTCAGAATGTTCTAAACGAATAGGGCATAGGGGGATAACTAGGAATAGAACACAGCCAGGAACTTTGTTTCTAACTACAGCTCCAGAAGTGTTGTTGGAAGCATACAACTGGGACGCAGTTTGCAAATGTTGGAATGACGAGTTTGGGAAACACCAAATCAACAAACTATGTTTGTAACAACAGAACTTGCAACCCTAGTTAGCTAACGATTGTTTTCGGAAACGCACAGCAGGTTTCCTGTTTCTGGCACATAATTCTATTTTTTTTATTAGCATTGCCTTCAAATTAAATTATATTTCTGCCACTGTATATATGTTTTCATGACAATTTGTTTTACATCTACAACAGAATTTTTTTTTTTACAGGTTTTGAACATGTGGAAGGATTAGATCTTTAAAGGATTAGATCACTTTCCAAAATGAAATTTTTCATATATTGTTCTCGCCCCTTTGTCTACCAATATTCATGTTTCTTCAGTCAAAACATACATTTTATAATAAAAACGTGCCTGATTTTTTTGCCAGATACTGGACTTAAATATGTAAATACTTTGTAACCACTAAATCTCGTTTCACAGTATTTGGGATGCCAGCATTATCTTGATATTTTTTCTTGAAATGTTTTCCTTTAAAACCTTAAATTATTTGGGACTAAAGAAAGAAAGAAATGAGCATTTTGGATGACAAGGGGGTGAGAAAACTATCAGGAAATGTTTGTTATGGAAGTCAACTAATCCTTTAAAGAAGGTCATCCTTAAATGACATTCACTCAAAAATGAAAATTACCCCATAATTTACTCACCCTCAAGCCATCTTCTGTGTCTATGCCTTTTTCTGACAGATGAACAGTCAGAATAGTTTTGAATTTTCCATGTTGTATAATGGTAGTGACTTCCAAAGCTTCCACAAGCACATCAGTCTATTGTAAAACTAACCTATTAGGGTGACAAATGTCCAATGAAGCAGATCACAATGTATTTTTAACATAAATATTTATACATTTTAATTATAAACTCACCAGCCGATGGTCAGCTGTTGGCCTTCATCAGTCCATCAGTCAGGCTAGTTGGTTTGGTATGTTCCATGCGTCGCCTCTATCGGGTTAACCACTGATCTTGTTGGCCTGATTCAGCTTGCAGAATCGTCATTGGGGCTGTCAGCTGAAGAGAGCATTTTAATTATTTATTCCGCAATGAATCAAAGTGCGAGTGTGGCGTAGTGAAGTAGAAAGTACACAATTCCCCACATAAATGGTCCTTGTAGTTTTGAGCATTTCTCAAATATTTGCAAACAATATGAATTATTAGATTATCAGACATATTTGCAGGAGTGAATCCCTCCCGGGTGAGGGACAATTACCGTGTTAACGATACAATATGTTAACAATTACAATTAACGATAATGGTATTAAATGTTGCTTTGTTTATGTTTTGTCTGTATGCATCAGAAGTTCATTTTACTTCTATGGAGCGAGAAAGCATTACTGCCCCCATGCAGAGTGGAAAGATATGTCTTCTTGTGCAGGTGCAGAGTGTGGCTCTCATTTCAGTTGGCTTTCGTTCGTTTGGTGGGGGGACACGAGACGACAACCCAGTTGGGTTTCGTTGGTGCTAGTTGTTAGCAGGTGTCCACTTGGTGTGTCCTGACCCATAGCAATATTTTTTCTTTTATATATCTATGATTTTAAAGTAGCATGTTCAGTGGAGCACTATCTCTATGCTGATGATGCCGCAATTTTAGTGTTTCATCAAGACAAACGGCACTGGAAGACATTGAGTTCACAGTTAAGAAATTTGTACTACTGGTGTTTGGACATAGACTTTCTTTGCACATAGGTAAAACAGAAGCTATCTGATTTGCTTTAAAAGTGAAATTAAAGAAAGATGACTCTGTTTGTGGTTAGGATTAATGATTTGATGATTGAGTCAAAAAAACGTTCATTGATTATTTGGCATGTTAATTCATTAATTTTCTTTTCGGCGAAGTCCCTTTATTAATCTGGGGTCGCCACAGCGGAATGAACCGCCAACTTACAGAGGCATATGTTTTATGCAGCGGATGCCCTTCCAGCTGCAACCCATCACTGGGAAATATCCATACACACTCATTCACAATCATACACTATGGACAATTTAGCTTACGCAATTCAACCATATCACATGTCTTTGGATGAGCGATTATGCTACCCACTGCACCACTTGCTGCTCCTTGGCATGTTTAATTGATAATAAATTATTAGGAGATGCTATGGCAAGAAAGGTTTTAATGAAGATATGTGGAAAATTAGGTTCTTAGCAAGGCGAGCTGACCTGTTGGATGTTTATTCTTTAAAATTATTGGCAGGAGCTTTGATTTAACCCCATTTTGATTATGCTACTTCTTTTTGGTATAGTAGCTGCTCACAAAGTATAAAGGAAAAATAGCAAAAGGCACAAAGTAAATTAGTATGAATAATTTAAAAAAATCATAATTTGCACAGAGTTTTTTTTTTTTTAAGAATTAAGCATATTAACTGCTAATAAATGAGTGTGTTTAAAAAAATAATAATGTGGTTCCTAGTTATTTGGTGAACTTCTTTCAAATGGTGAGGCAATTACATTCATATAGTACTAGGGGTTGGGATTTTAATATTTCGTCACCTCGGTATTATAAGGTTCTATCTGCGTTCTGAATGATTTTGAAATATTGAGCTTTAAAGATTTTGCATTCCATAGCAAACAATATGTGTGAAACCTTTTGTTTTTAAATAAAAAGTCTTAAAATGTAAACAACCTATAAAAAACATTCCATAATGTAAATAAGTTGTCATGTTATAAGAATATGCCAATAACTTAATTTTGACAAAAATGTCAGATAAAACCTTATAATTCTAAGGTGACGATTTGTTTATTTAAATTTAGAAGTGTAGTGGGGAAAAATATATTTTTAGAAACAAGTGCAATCATCTGGAACAAATGACCAAAAATGATAAAGCAAATAAAAGACTCAAAAGATGGTTGTTTGAAGAGGATAGTTAGTTTGCATGGTGCATGATGATGTTTTTTTGTAAGTCATTGTTTTGTGAATAATTTTGTTACTGTTTTGAAATGTGGAGGTACCGTTTGTCTTATGCATTAACTGTATGCAGCCATACTTTGTTTTGTTTTTTTTTAGCAGCGAGGACCACAATGGAAACAAGCCCAGAGCTTTATTGTGTTTTTATCCTTGACAATTTTATTTCAAAATGTAATGGATACTTGTATTTTTGTAAAATGTGCCTAAAATCTGTCAAATAAAGATTCAATTTAATTCAAAGCTACAGGAATAGGAGCGTCTTGCAGGAACCAATTACCATACAGTTTGTTTATCACAGAATACATCAATGAACAAGAAAACTAGCCAGTTTGTCATTACGGTATAACGATATACAGTATATTACTCTTAAAATGTTGTGTACGTGTGACTACATCAATCCGCTTCATAAGACATGCATTAACCCCCTGGACCGCATATGGGTTTATTTGAAGCTTTTGAGAGCTTGAAAATAAAAGCCACTATCCAACAATGTGGAAGAGCCAGGTTACAATGTAAAATAACAGTGTAAAAATCCTGGGTTCCACACAATTCCTTCATGTTGTTCCAACACAGTTCAATGAAGTTGGCTTAATTGTTTTTAGAAATGTAAGTGGATTAAACGTAAAACAATTAAGTTAACCCCCCCTGCCATAAAAGCCTCAAGAATTATATTTTTGAATAAGTATTTTGAACAAGCAGAGTTTTTCTTTGAGTGTACTCCGACTGTGTTCGTCTGACAGAAAAAAGTATACACAAAGATGTCTTGAGAGTGAGTAAATTATAGAGTAATTGTCATTTTGGGTGCACTATTTCTTTAAAGGGATAGTTTACCCAGTTTAGATAGTTGTTTTGTTGTGTTCAACTGACTTTTATTATTTGACTTTTATTATTAAGTCATTTTGTTTTTGATTGTCTCTCTGCAACCGTAACTGATGTTCTCTCCTCTTGTGTGCATTTCAGCTTCTTGGAGGCTTTCAGGAAGAAGAGCGAGCGAATATTGGCAAACAGGTGAAAGGACAGAGCGTGTGGCTGGGCATTAAAAAGCTGCAAATGCTGATTGAGATGTCACTGCAGGTGAGACGAAGCAAGACCTTTTCACCCAGCAGGTTGTCTAGACGCCTCTCTGAGTCACCGCTTTCCTGCCAATAATTATCTGCGGTTTGAGTCACTGTCAAATGTAATCATTTTATGGCATCGTAATGAAAACAGGCCCTTCCAGATGTGCCTTCTCTGTTGACACACACACACACACACAAGTAAACAGAGGCCCATAGTCCTCATCTGCATGTCATTTGGTGGATGTGGCCTGTTTCTGGAGCTGATTGAAACCTTTCACTTTTGCTGCCAAACAACTGACTGTTCTCAGAAATCATGCAATAATGGTAGCTGCTCATTGCTGTCACATTATAGATCAATATTGATGTGGAAAGCATAAATAGAAAAAAAAATGTTGCTTCATTTGGCAAATTTATATTCATTCATTCATTTTCTTGTCGGCTTAGTTCCTTTATTAATCTGGGGTCGCCACAGCAGAATGAACCGCTAACTTATCCAGCAAGTTTTTACGTAGCGGATGCCCTTCCAGCCACAACCCATCTCTGGGAAACATTCAAACACACATTCACACACAAACACTCATACACTACGGACAATTTAGCCTACCCAACTCACCTGTACCACATGTCTCTGGGAAAACCAGAGCACCCGGAGGAAACCCACGCGAGGTTCAAACCAGCAACCCAGCGACCTTCTTGCTGTGAAGCGACAGCACTACCTACTGCGCCACTGCCTCGCCTAGCAAATTTATATTGAAGACCATATACAAAATTGTAAATTGATTTACAAACAAAATATTTTAATGAGTAATTTTTATAAATATTTAGCTTTATGTTTTAATTAACATTTAAGCCTTTTTGTTATTTTTAAGCTATTTTTAAGGTTACATTAAATAAAACTTAGTAAACGTGTTCTTCGTAAATTGCTGAAACAAGACAGGTTTTTTTGTAATATATATTTTTTTATACAAAATATTTTAGTCAAGTGATTCTTGAAAAAATATTATTTTTTTAAATAAAAAGTGTATAAATAAAATAATGCTGAAAATAATTTATTCATTAATTTCTCTTCAGCTTAGTCTTATATTTATCAGGGATCCCCACAGCGGAACGAACTGCCAACTATTCCGGCATATGTTTTACGCAGAGGATGCCCTTCCAAACCACAACCCAGTACTGGGAGACACCAATACACTCTGGCATTCAGCAAATTTTGCTTACCCAATTCACCTACACTGTGTGTCTTTGGACTGGGGAACATCGGAGCACATAAACACAGGGACTCAACCCAGCGACCTTCTCACTGTGAGGTGACAGTGCTAGCCACTGTGCCTTCCCTAAAAAAAACGTGACAATGAAAATTTTTATAAAAGATGGAATAAACAGGAATAAATAATTTAATATAAGTAAAAAACATGCACTTCAATAAAATTTCAAGTATAATTATATTCTCCAAAAGCTTATCCATCATATCCATGCCTAATATACATTAACTTTTTTTTTTTTACTTCAGTGCATTTAAAAATATATTTTTTAATTATTTATTTTTTATCATTTCATTGATATATATATATATATATATATATATATATATATATATATATATATATATATATATATATATATATATATATATATACACACACATACACGCACGCACGCACGCATGCACGCACACACACACACACACACACACACACACACACACACATATATAATTTTTTAACTGAAGTCTGACAATAGGTTTAAATCCATAAAAAAGCTGCTTTATCAAGATTCTTTACATTTCTATAAAAGATTTATCTCAAAAACATAAAAAAATTGATTACACTTCCCTAAATGTTTGTGATGTTGTAATTCATCCTACTGGTTAGACTTCTTTATTGAAGACATTTCTCAAATCCCTGTGAAAAATAAAAAATGGGTAAAAATACAGCTACTGAAAAACTGGCATGGCACTGTTGTGCTGTATTAGGCCAGCTTTGGCTCTGCTGAAAACCAGCATTTCAGAAAATATCCTGGGTTTATTTTTGGCCTTATTTGCGAGCATTAGTTGCAGATTAGTGCTGGTCTAGTTGAATGTGTGCTGGAGCGCTGTTTGTTAGTGTTGTCTGCTGTAATTGGAGTTGCAGTGGTGTTTGTGTAATTGGTGTGGTATGCAGTAATGTGGAATGAGTCTGAGTTTGCCGGGACTTGCTGCACACAGACGCACTGCACTTTCCTCCCTTCGCCTCTATCCTTTCTGTAATTTCCACTTCTCCAGCAGCCTGAGGCAATTGAAAAGCAAAGTTATTGCATACACCTTAGTTCATTTTCCTCCTTGGTGTCTTCTCTCTCCTCCAGAGCTTTCTTTCTCTGTCCTTACAGCACAATTGTATCTATAAAAGAAAATTAAAAGTTCAAACACTGTCAGAGAAAGTAGACCCATAATGAACGTTTTTTTTGATTTCCTAAAATATTGTATTTTTGGTGTGAAGGAATGTGTATTTTTTTATTGATTTTATTTTGCTTTATTTGATATATAGCATAAGGAAATCAGTGCAGTACATTTGATCTGATTTATTTTTTTATTATTTTATTAAAATTAATTTATTTACATTTCATCTACAGTGCTCAGCATAAATGAGTACACCCTATTTTAATGAATGTTTATTAATTTCCCAGTGAATATTGGTTATAAATATTGGTGCATTTGAACAAAACAGATTTAATAAACAGATCTATTTATTAAAATAATATTTTAGTCACAAGCATCTTTAGAAATGAAAAGATTATACATTTAAAATAAACATGCAAAATAAATGACAAACTACAACATTTCAATAAAATCTTATATATTTTTTGTTTCTCTTGATTTTTCCTATTTTTGAAAATTTTATTTAATATTTTTCAAATTTGGGCAGTAATTTTTATACCATTATTGTAAGTTATTTTGTTAGATAAGCTCCAGATTTGCACCAATTTAATATTGTAAAGCATCCTATAAAATATCAATTTAAATGAGAGATTTGTGGGGGGGGTGTACTCATATATGCTAAGGACTGTTTTTAATCTATACCTACAGTTAAATTAGACCTGTCAGAGAAAGCAGCTTCTTTTTATTTGATTTAGTTTTATTTCATTTTATTGATTTGAGTTTTATTGATTTTATTGTATTGAATTTGCTAAACTCCAAAAAAATAAAGAGCAAATAAAAAGCAGATCTGCTTAATTATTTTTAAAAACATTTTAACAATAATTTAAAAACATTTATTTACAGCATAAGAAAATTAAAATTAGTTTTTAAATTAACTTAGCATTTTTTCCAACAACTGATTTCCATATAAAATATATAGAAACAAATAAAATTACTTAATTTAATTAAATTAATTTTTTAAAATAAATTTTATTTTATTATTTATATTTCATGTCATTTAATCTTTTCTTACATTTAAGTTAGACCTGTCAGAGAAATCAGCTTCTGTTCATTTTATTTAGTTTTATGTTGTATTGATTCACATCTGTATTGTCATGCCATTACATTATCATGTATTGATTTGAGTTGTATTGATTTTTATTGTATTGATTATCTGAACAGTTAATTTCAAGATTAAAATTAGATTGAACATAGTTTTATTTAATTTTATTGATTTGCATTTATAGATTTTTCAAGGATGATATGGCCACAACCACAGCCGTATCATCCTGCAGCCCAAGCCTCACTAAAGCTAAGCAGGGCTGAGCCTGGTCAGTACCTGGATGTGAGACCACATTGGAAAAATAGGTTGCTGTTGGAAGTGAGGTCAGCAGGGAGCGCTCAACCTGCGGTCTGTGTGAGTCCTAATGTCCCGGTAAAAGTGAAGGGGACACTATATTGTCAGTGAGCGCCGTCTTTCAGATGAGACTATAAACTGAGGTCCTCACTCTCTGTGGATTACTAAAATTCCCATGGCACTTCTCGTAAAGAGTAGGGTGTAATCCTGGTGTCCTTCCCAAATTCCCTCCATTGGCCCTTACCCATCAAGGCCTCCCAATCATCCCCATCCACTGAATTGGCTGTATCACTATCTCTCCACTCCACCAGTAGCTGGTGTGTGGTGAGCGCATTGGCCCCATTGCCCTGTGGATGCTGCACATTGGTGGTCGTGTGAAGGTTGTATGGTCATACACGATAAACGCGCTATATAAAACCACATTACATTACATCTTTACTAAAATTAGATACAAAATATTTAATAATTTAATTGTTTTGATTTGCATTCATAAATCTTTACCTTTTGGTCAATTCTACCATTTTAGTTCATTATTATTATGATTATACCTGTCAGAAAAGCTTACTTACACATTTAATCTCTTTAATTATACATTTGTATACATTTAAACATAAATTTTAAAGCATCTTATTTTAATTTTCTCTTAACATAATGATTTAATCACCATTTTGTTTAGTCAGAAAAAGCAACATCTTAATTGTCTATCTCCTTGGGCATTTCATTAGAGCACAGGGAAATCAGTAGTTATTCTGATTGGCTGTCAAACAAAACTGTCAAGTGAGTGTTTGAGGCGCAGATATGGCTTATAGTCGATCAGTTACTCTTGCTGTCCAGGGTGAACAGGTACACCAGTCTGCTGGATTTATCACTAGTCTTGTCACTTCCCCATTTGCTGCGGCCCCTTCACATCTCCTCACAGACACACTCAGGGCCCCTCTGAACCCTCCAGGCTTTACATGCTGACAAGGTTTTTGTCTCTTCGATGTCTCAGAACTTTCCAGAAGATGAGGAATGTACAGGAGTGTAACCCACTCTTTTTCGGTTACTCTTTCACTTTTTAATCATTGTTTTCTCTCTTTTTTTCTCTTTCAGATGCCCCTGGAATACAGAGTTCAGAAGTTTTTGGCACTGCTGAAGGAAGAAGGAGCGTAAGTCCATTTTATGGTTGGCTTCAAATGGATTTTTCCTGCTTTATCATATTGTTTTTTTTCATTAACGTGTGGTTTATGTTGTTCTCCAGGCTTGGCCCTGATAAACATGTGGCTTTTTAGACCTGGGGTGCAGAAGAGTAGCCTCACAAACCAAGGCTATTTTGGTAGGATTAAAATAAAGTTGTTTTTCACACATTCGTTTGTCCCTACTTCAGTGCATAATGTCTTATTATGTAGTTCTTATACTATTATCAGTACTAAAAACATAATCGCACTGCAGTGTGTTTGTGTATTGTGCATGTGTATTGTAACATTTGATACATATTTATTTTAGAGTGTTGTAAAAGATACATGTTCATACTGTTCTTTGACTGCTTTGTTCAACCAAATCAGTTTAACATAAGAACGATTTTTGACTTATCACATGAAGATGGTATAGACAGAAAAAGTAATTATGCTGGAAAATAAACTTTGAGTAGCTTTTTAAGTAATTTTATCAATACAATAAATTTAGATAATATAAATTAATATATTTTGAATTATTTCTTAAATAGTATGATTCTAGGAGCAAGCCACATTGGAAAAAACCCCACCCACGTTTATAAATAAAACATTTTTTCATGTGTTTTGATTTTTATGGTGCATAGAATGTAAATAACATACTATGTGAACCTCAAACACCATTGTTTCCGAATTCTCATGTAGCATACAGGTGAAAAACAGGCCAATCAGAACAAAACACAGCTAGTGTAAGCAGGATTATTAATACACACGGCTCAGGCTGCATTTGACTGGCCACATTTCGTAGTGGGATCAGAGCAATGTTATCTTTTTCTTATTATTTTTAAGCTTTTCTTTTTTTTAATCAAAAGTATTTTTATTGAACATATTAGGTATGAAACATACAGTTCAAATAGCTTTTCACTTTTTCTTTTTTTTTACACACATATATATATATATATATATATATATATATATATATATATATATATATATATATATATATATATATATATATATATATTTGGCTTCTTTAAAAATATATTACAAAATATTACAATAAAATACAAATAAATATTAATATTAAGTAAAACATATGTTACTCATATTTAAGGGGGAAAAAGAAAGAAAAAAATTATAAAAAAGCATGTGGGACTATTTTAAAAACATGAGAGGCATAATAAAGCCTGCCGTGTAACATCTATACATTGTTATAAGTATGTTGCAAAGCAAAAGGACTGATGGGAAATGGCGGTGCTGGTGTGTGTCCACAATATTTAGAACTTAATAAGACACAACGCTTCATGTACAGTGTGTATTTGAATTTAAGGAGAAGTTCTCAGCCAGCCATCTGTTCACAGTGTGTCAGAACATGAAATTCATGATATATGGATTATAAATGTGTACAGGGCAACCCCTAAGAGACATGTGTATATTATGAAATTTGAGGGGCTTATAGATGGCTCATTCACTCCTTCTTGCTAAAATAAACCTCTTTACCACTTCAGTTGACATATACTCAGTTTGTTAAAAAATCATTTTTGACTGGAGTAGATTTATTTTGCACATTTTTTTAAGAGTACATCACACTAGGTGTGTGTGTGTGTGAGAGAGTGCATGCACAGACACAAGCTTCGGACAATCAGAGCTGAGCTTGTTAATATTCATGACCATGCCAAATATGGTCAAAATGGAGTTTTTTTTTTAATTTATTTTTTAATTGATACCTGAGCAAATAAAACCATTCCTTGAAAATGTTTGCACTTAACTACTGTTTATGTACAGTTGAAGTCAGAATTATTAGCCCCATTTTGATTTTTTTTTTTCCTTTTTAAATATTCCCCCATGCTTAACAGAGGAAAGAAATTTTCACAATGAGACTATATTTTCTTCTGGAGAAAGTCTTATTTTGTTTTATTTTGACTAGAATTAAATTTTTTTAATACCATTTTAAGGTCAAAATTTTTAGCCCCTGTAAGCTATATTTTTTATAGTCTACAGAACAAACCATCATTACACAATAACTTGCCTTATTACCCTAACCTGCCTAGTTACCCTAATAAACCTAGTTAAGCCTTCACATGTCACTTTAAGTTGTATAGAAGTGCCTTAAAAATATCTAGTAAAATATTATTTATGGTCATCATGACAAAGATAAATTAAATCAGTTATTAGAAATCAGTTATTAAAACTATAATGTTTGGAAATGTTTTGAAAAAACTCTTCTCTCCGTTTGGGGAAATTGGGGAAAAAAGAAGGAGGGTGCTAATAGTTCTGACTTTAACTGTATATGTATTTCCCACAATTTTTAGCCACATACCTATGTTGATAAAATGTAATGTATTAAATAAATGCACTCCATGACACTTTTAATGTTATCTTAGTTTTCATTCATAAATTATATTTTATAAGGTTTCCTGTTTGTATTCTTATAATGTATTTTTCAGAAGCAGTTCAAGGAGTCAGGAAAACACTGGGTGCACTTGAGAGAGAGAAAGAAAGAGCAAACGTCCACACAGAATCTCTCGTTATCCTTCACTTTCCTGAAGTATGGAGTACTGCATGTATACACGGCATCTACACCACAGTGCCCCTGTTCAACACTAGCTCTTCAATTCTCTAGTACTTGTGCACAAGCTCTTATATTTGTACAGTGCCTCAGATGTGTAATGACATCAGATTGAATTGTTTATATATGTATATGAAGACCCATTAGGACTTTTTATATATATATATATATATATATATATATATATATATATATATATATATATATATGAAATGTTATGCACATATAATAAGGTTTATTATATGGAAATTACTGACAAAGCATTCCTGTTGTTGTTGCCTTACTCCTAAATCCCTAAATCTGTCTTTACTGGGCAGAGTACATTTAGAAATGCCTAAATTCTCTGACCACTTTTTTCGTCTTGTTTTTCAAGTTGTCATAGATGGACTTATTATCTTAGAAACAGTTAGTGCCTGCCAAAAACAATTCTGAAACGCTCACTCCTGTGCCTTTGCATGCCAGTGTATTGTTGCAGTTTGTTTATTAGTTTTATATATTTTTTTTAAGAAAGGGAACTATCTGTCCTCCTTATCCCACTCAGGACATTCCATGTCAGGAACATAGGAAAGGTCTTAGATGAACAGCCTGTCGTCTCAGTTTAATGGGTAACATTATGACCTTAACTATTGTTAAAAAAAGTGACCATTGACTTGCCTCTCCATGTACCAAGATAGTTCACACTACTCTTGAATTCATTGTCATGTCTCTTAAAGGCATTTTTTCTCCCCTCAGAACATTATGAGCTCATTATAACTTTTACTGTCAAACCATGAAAGTAATTGCAATTGAACCACACTCAAATGTCTTGCTCTTTAAATCAAAATGCAGAGTTTTGTGTTTGTTTTGGATGTTTGTTTGCACGTCAAAATTTAGTACTTGGAGTAGATTTCCTTACTGTAATACGTTTGGTGTGTAACATGCTATAAATTATGTTTTTGTGGCAAGAAATTAATGAATGCAATAATTGAAGTTTAAATATTGTCTTAAATCATTGCGCAATTAAATGCGGTTTTAAGATTGCAGTTAATGACTGGTGTTTTTGCTTCTGATAATTTGATGCTTTTCCAAAACGTTGATCTGTACATAAAATGTTTTAGTTAGCTACCATCACACAGACAGTGGTGCAGATTGAGAACTATGTTTTGACAATTTATTTTGATTATGCCCTTTTAGATGTTTTGATATGTTGAATATATATGTATATTTTTAACTACATGTTACCTAACTCTTAAGAGTATTAGTAGATTAAGACAAGGGGCAGTTCTAGGATTTCATGTTTTCTGACCAAATCTAATTAGCTGCAATTCAATTTTATTTTTAAATCTTTTCATTTAAAAAAAAGTGTAATATAATTGATATGTAAATAGACACAGGATGATAACCGGTTTTAAAGGTTTACTGTGGTTTGGAAAAGTCAATGTTTTTTAAAACGCAAAAATTTTCTGTTATTTCGAGATATATGAACGTTTTTTTTAAACGTGTTGTTAAAAAAAATCTGTTTTTGAAAGTTTGTATTTTTGAAGTCAGTGATTTATTTTACTTGTTTAGCCTGACATGTTGTATTTTTAAATATAATATATATGTAAATATGAAATTATTCATTCATTCATTTTCTTGTCGGCTTAGTCCCTTTAATAATCTGGGGTTGCCACAGCGAAATGAACCGCCAACTTATCCAGCAAGTTTTTACGTAGCAGATGCCCTTCCAGCCACAACCCATCTCTGAGAAACCAGAGTACCCAGAGGAAACCTACGCGAAGGCAGGGAGAACATGCAAACTCCACACAGAAACGCCAACTGAGCCAAGGATCGAACCAGCGACCTTCTTGCTGTGAGACGAACGTGCTACCCACTGGGCCACTGCGTCGCCCTGAAATTATTCAGTATTTTGTTAAATGAGGCTCAAAGTTTTGTTACCCAGACATTTAAAAAGAACTTATTTTAAAAGCAGTAATCACAATACTGAGATACTGTGATACCAGGATATTTTTAACCAAGGATATCATTCCGTCAAAAACTTATACCGGCCCATGCCTATATGCAAAACTCTAATATATAATTGTAAATGTATAATATATAAATTTACATTTCTTGATATTTTTTTAATCTTGTTTTCAGTTAGTGATCAGTTAAAAACTCACTTATAATGACTTACTAAATTAATCAGTGAATTACATTTCAGTACTTTTATTTGATTGTTTGTGAGTCAGAAATTAAAAAGTTCAAACGACTAACCCTGCAAGTTGCGATCATTTAATAAAATTAAGATTGCATAGGTGTTCGAATTTATTTATTTATTTTACACAAAATATATTTTAGATAGTTGAATAGCTCATGGTTTTAGGAATGAAAGACAGGGTTACTATAGGCACCGTAAATAGGCTTTGGAACTGTCCCTGGGTTAAGGGTAATTAGAACAGGTTTAAGTACTTTCATGGTTATAGGCAAGAGAGCTGCAGTTTACATCTGCTAATATGGTGCAGTTTGGTTGATTAGATCAGTGGTTTCCAAACTTATTCTTATTTTAACATTCACAATCTCCTCACCCCTCAAAAAAAATCTAGCAGACAAGAATAAAATAATGTTATAAAAATTGGGGTGAGATTATAAATAAGGTTGGTTTGTGATTTCCTTGGCTAATAAACATTATCTACTGAGATTTACCTTGGTATTCATTGGTCCAAAAGGTATTACAATGTACAATATGTATACATATTTAAAACTTTTGCTGTAGATGCATTTAAACTCTGTCTAGCTAAAAACTGCAGACAGCATCAGTGAAAATGAAAGCCAGAATTTCTGGAAGAAATTGGGATGTTATCTGTTTATTTTATACTTCAAACTAGAGTGACCCCTCATAAATCTTTGACTACCCCTCATGGAGGTCGTGACCCTAAGGTTGGGAGCCATTAGATTAGATCACAAGTAGACGTCTTGTCTACTTGAATGCATTTTTGATTACCTCTCAGAGTGGATAAAAGTGGATAAGCTCACAATCCGTTTACACTTTTACACTAGTAAAATAGTTCTAGTTAAAAAACTAAATTTAATTAGGCCTCCTATGAAATTTGAGTTCTTTTTTTAAATATAAAAGTGTTTTATTTATATATATATATATATATATATATATATATATGCTCAAATATATATATATATATATATATATATATATATATATATATATATATATATATATATATATATATATATATATATTTTTTTTTTTTTATGGAGAAAGTCATATTTTTTTAGTTTAGATAATTTATTAAGGGTGGCACAGTATGTAGTGCTGTCGCCTCACAGCAAGAAGGTCGCTGGTTCGAGCCTCAGCTGGGTCAGTTGACGTTTCTATGTGGAGTTTGCATGTTCTCCCTGTGTTCGCGTGGGTTTCAGAGATGGGTTGCGGCTGGAAGCGCATCCGCTGCGTAAAAACGTGCTGGATAAGTTGGTGGTTCATTCCGCTGTGGTGACCCTGGATTAATAAAGGGACTAAGCCGAAAAGAAAATGAATGAATGAATGAATTTAAGGTGAAGCAGTGGTGTCGTAGGTAGTGCTGTCGGCTCAAAGCAAGAATGTCGCTTGTCCAAGCCTCTGCTGAGTAAGTTGGCATTTCTGTGTGGAGTTTGCATGTTCGTCCCGTGATCGCGTTCCTCTGGGTGCTCCGGTTTCCCCCACAGTCCAAAGACATGTGGCACAGGTGAATTGCGTTTTTTTGATTTTCTATAAAATCAAACTAAACAAAAAAGGGTATCTGATGTCATCAGCATGCTTACACAAAAAGTCCATTTAAATAGCATATTTCTCTAGATTTTACCCTTCTTTAAAACATTTGGGATAGTGTAAGTACATAAGTTAGCAACATATATATATATATATATATATATATATATATATATATATATATATATATATATATATATATGTTCAGATTTTTAATCTATTTTAATGAGCAAAATCATCCATTGCGTATTGTGTCATGTTTTACTCTGTTATTTAGTAGAGCTACTGTATGAGGTCTGCCTGCGAACCTACCGGATGATGTCATTGCTGGAATGACAGAGTAGATGCAGACATGCAGCTCAGATGATTGTCATCAGGTAGGCTAAACCCTTTATTTAGCTGCGTGCCAATGTCACACAGTATTTTAAGTTTCATGCCACCGTGGAGAAAAGAAATCTGTTGTGAAAAGTGTTTCCCACATTGCATAATACATCAACAGTCGAGTTCCATTAAAAATCAAAGTCATGAGACGGTTTTGTTCTTCAAATATATAATCTTAGTTCAGTCATACAGATATATACATTGTGTAATAAATAATATTTATAAAAACATAACATTTTCAGATTATAAAATAAAAAGGGAATTATGAACTTTTAAAGGCTTTGTACAAAACTTTGGATATAGCGGAAGGAGAAGTGGAAAAGTGAGTGGAGATGTGAGAGAGGGCTCCTCAGGGATCGGGGTGGATGTGAACTAGTGCTGCGTGGTTAAACGTAATTAATGGGAAGCGTACGGGACTGTCAGAACATGTCACATGGAAACCTCCGCTAGTCTGTTGCAGCTTTGTGAAGCCAGTCCTTCTTCCATTTATCGCACAGCAAAACACTTACATGCCAATTTGTAACTATTTTATGTCCTTTCATATTCATATAATCTTCATTCGTTCTTTGTTTAACAGGATTTGCTTACACAAAAGGTTAGATCACTAAAAAAATTTGAATTTATTAATTACTCTCAAGTTGATTCAATTCTCTTAAACCCTTTTCCTCCTTTAGAACACAAATTAAAATATTTTAGATTAAATCCGGCTGATTCTTTTAACGCATCTCTAGACATTCAAAATCTAGAAAAGGAACCAAAAAGTGGTTTTCAGTGGTTCAACTGTAATCATAATGAAGCTCCACAAACACATTTGTACACCAAAAGTAACTGTAAAAATGTATAAACTCACATTTATAAACATGGCATACCCACAAAATGGTGGTAAAAACGTGTGCAAGCCACTTCCCACGCAAAAGTTCTGATCTATAAAAGACAAAAGTGTCTGGAGAATGTACGCAGCTGTATTTCACTTCAATATTGGCTGTACTGAACCACTTAACATCATCACATGAGCTACAACCATTAATAAATAAATAAATAGAAAGTTAGTCTGCAATATGTTAACTTTTAGGAAGGTTTCTACTCAAATTTTATAAATGTGATGAGGTTGTCCATTTATTACGGCCAAAGCGATGCAAGTATGTTTCTAGAAGCCTAGTAAGAGCTTAAATAGCTAGTCCAGGTGTGTCTGATTTGGGTTGGAACTAAACTTTGCAGGACACTGGCCCTCCAGGACTGAGTGTGGACACCTTTGAACTACAGGGAAATGAATCAGAAGTTCTAAAAACAATTGCCAAAAAGGTCTTCCGCATTGGAGAATAAGGTCAATAAGTGGATTCATAGATTAGCACAATGCTCATTTGAATTTGTACAAAGACATTTTTGTTACTCATAACGTATGGAGAGAAATACACCTGACATGGATTGATCTTTTCTTATTGGCGCATGTAATCAAATAGGATATACTTTGAAAAGCTGAATGTCCGGCTAAGTGAAAAACAAAGTATATTTTCAGGTTAAGCGAAAGATCCTAATGTTTGTTTTTTTAACCTCGAAAAATGGTTGCTTTTCTCTCAAGAAGGGGTTGCTTTTTGCTTAGCTATGTTCCTCCTGGTTCTCCTTCCTCTATGCAAACCTATCATCGGGGAAGTGTTGAAATGGAGCCTTCACAGTCATATACGAGGAGCTTTATCAAAAAGAATATGTTAAAAATAATCGTCATAATCTCTAGACTTAGTATAATCATTAGTAGTTTTGTAAGTGCAAATTTAACTGGTCGGGTGCACAACAGCCCAGTGTGTGTCATGCATTTCATCAGCTGTCATGCACTCATCTAGCTGAGTTTCCGATGACTTTGCATGTATATTTCTGCAAAAAAAAAAAAACATTATTGAAACCGCCCTTAGCGATCTATGCTGATTTATCGATTGCATCCTTTTAACTGTAAAGCAAATTACCATAGCCTTTATGTAGCAAGTAGCAATATGTTCCTTAAATGAAACCATTATTATAGGGAATGTGGTAGTAGGGAACTACAAGTCCTTGGGCTGGGAAAACAAAAGAATTGCATTTGATTCAGTAGTATAGCAGGGCATATTTTAAGACCCAGCAATCAGTAGTTAATCGAGAGTTTTTTTTGTCATCCTCTCTCCCTCCTCTTGTTCTTTCCTACATGCCTAATGTCATTGGTTGTACGTGAACATATCCTGTTTCAGCCCCTGGGCAGTAGGCAGAGATGATCAGAGAGATGGTGTTACAGATAAAGAAGACTGAATGATAACAAGGCATTTCGTTCTTTTGCAGAAGTAATGCATGCCACAAAAAAAAGAGCGAGAGGAATGGCAGTAGTAACCATGATGCTCACAGTGGGCATCTTTTGGGGTGCGTATATCTTAAAGGGCACATTAGTAAACGGTTCTACCACAGAAGTGCCACTATCATGTGTTTTTTTTTCCTCAGTCTCTCATTCTCTTGCTTAATGTCCACTAGTCCCTTTCTTTCTGGACCCGCTGTGCTTATTTACATGTATGTACGTCGTAGACCCTCACACATTCCTGGCAGCTAACGTAACAGCACCAGTGGAAGATGCAGTGGCATTTCTCTTTGCGCTTTTCTGTCCGTGTGTTATGGCCACGGCCACAGCACAGCAGGTCACAGCCTTCGATGCCGTGCGACGACACGTTGCAGGCACGGTCACGGGTGCCGAATGAGCCCGTCTCTGGGTTTGGCTCGCAGAAGTTGGGTGATCCCTCATAGTATACCAGGTCTCGCTCAGTGGGATGCTTGAAGAAGGCGTATTTGGCTCGTAGTGTTTCCACCCAGCCTCTGGACTCCCGGTGTTTCTCCACCACCATCTCAGAGGCGCTGTCGTACTTGTCTTTCAGGTAGTCCCCCAACAGTCTGAAGTCAGGCTGCGCCCACCAGCACGTCTTCACTTCACAGCTGCCTGACAGCCCATGGCATTTACAGCGCAGGTGCATGTTCTCCAATATGGTCTGGGAAAGAGAAGATATTGGAATTGGTATTTACCAAGGACCATTATAAAATTGTTAAAGGTGCAATTTTTGGCTCTTCTAAATTATAAAACACCATGATATGTTTGCAAAGTGAATATCCTTGCTTGAAAAACAATGCTGCAGTGAGTTATTCTCCTGTGCATTCCTTGTGCGAATGCCTATCTGTGTTTTGTTTTGTCCTCTATCTATTTATCCGATTATATTTTGCCACCCCTAAATACCATTCCGGAAAACAGTGCATTTGCGTTATGAAGGTTCCTTTAATAAACGTAAGCACGAATGAAAATGTTACCCCTGGAGGACAGTAGCAGCCTACATGAGTAGAGTTCTACATAAGGTGGTTTTTAATTTGCAAATAATACAAGTATTACAAACATAAACATTAGCTAAACAGCATACACTGTATGGTTTGATTGCCAGGCATGCTCCCTCCTGTTTGAGTCATCTATCTGGCAACCTGCATGTGTGTTTTGTCGGATGAGGGGTTGGGTGAAAAAAAACTCAATATTTCGATATTGATTGCAATACCTAGTATGACCACTAGGTAATCTTACATACTGTGCTTTTAGGGAATATTGCTAAATAACTTTCTTACTGCCTTCCTCAAGCCTACATCCAGATACCACTTAAAATAACCATAAGATGGTTGACGGAGTGTCATTATTAAAGCAGGAGCTTTATGATTGTTTGATCTATTTTGATCCTTATTTATTGCCTGTGTTGTCAGCTTTTACTTTCCAAACATGCTTTAAACCAGGATCCACATAGGCTAAACTTGGAGTCCATCTCGGCATCTGATTATGCCTTCATCCATGTTTACATTATATATAGTATTAGGCTGAAAAGTATGCGAACCAAAAAGTATGCTTTGTCTGACGATATTTATGTCAGAATTCATAGTATTCATTGCATTGTAAACAAAATATCACTGGATGACCAACCATTTCCCGTCACGTTTACTTAAATGTATTTCTCATCAATTAATCCCCCTCCACTTGTTCCAAACAGGGTCGAGTTTCTTTACTCTGAAAAGATCTTTTGTAGCGTGTTGGAAAGCAGCAGCCATTGACTTCCTATATTTTTGTTTCTACTGTGGATGTCAATGGCTGCTGGTTTCCAACAATCTCTTAATTTGTGTTAAACAGAAGAAAAGAAATTTATGAAAGTTCAGAACCACTTAAGTGTGATTAAAATGTGGGGAAATGTACAATTTTGGGTGAACTATCCCTTTATGAATCTGAAACATGCTTTACTATTCAGTGAGGCTTTGTAAAGGTGTTAATGCTAGTTACGTGACACAACAGACTCAATACTTTTGGTCACATGACAGTAACAACAACTTGACAAAACATGAGTAATAAGTGTACACTGGTGTCAAAATATTTACATTCATTACCTGGGTAGAAGTATAAATACTAGAGTTTAAAAGACCCTAGTCTTTTGTGCCAACTCAAGAGTTTTACTCATCCACAATTATTCTTGGGCAGTATCCAAATTTTTATACCGTCAAACCTTCTCCTTGTTGTACCTCAGTATATGGTATTACCGTGAAAAATAAAAAAATATTACGCAAGACTCAGACAGCATCACCAAACTGTTGGCTTGTGCCTAAACTGTTCATAAAGTGAATACCAAACTCTAATACTGAAACAAAAACAACTTTTATTAGCAACAAATTGCAGTTTATGAAAAAGTGAAAATACAACAGTCTAACAGAATAGAATAGAACAGTTTTCGTGCACACAAAGCAATTGTATTTTACCATGTCCTTAAAGGACTTTTTGTCATTACATCAGTACAGGTTTTCCAACTGACACTGTCCCTTTTGTACTTTGTTGTTTACCCGAAGGCCCCCCATGACCATCGGCTGCATACTGGTGGTGGACTTACTGTAGATGTTGTTGGTCTTGCATCCGGAGGCATTGAAACTGTTGCACTGAGTGAACTCGGGTCTATCCTCGCAGCAGTTAGTGGATGGTAGTTTCGTATATGCAACTTTAGGTTCGAGGTATTTCCATTTCTCATGGTCACCTTTTTGTTGCACAATTTGAAAATTGCCTCGTCTGTATTTACAGCCTCTCCTTTATTGTTTGGTTGCAACCTGAAATACTGCCAAACTGCAAACTGTATTTTTTCGAGACCACGTCACTTGGATCACAGCTCACCAGCTCTCGTTTCCTCCTCCACCCTGTCCCGTGATGACGACGAACGTATACGTATCTTTAGCCATTAAATAAATTACATTTAATATTTAATCTTTGTCTCTTGTATAGGTGCATTGTTTTTATGAAGGTATAAGTGTATTGAAACTGAAACCGTTGCTATTTTTAGATACCATATTACTATATTACCGCCCAAGCCTATGTACAAGTATTAAAATACTGTTTTCAAAACTACTTGAAGTATAAAACTAAAAGTAATGTATGAAAAAATGTCATTAAGGACGATAGCTTAGGCTGCTCCACAGGGGCCTACTTTACACTAACACTTACACTACTTAACCTCTTCAAAAAAACATGACAATGACAAAAAAAAAGCCAGGAATCGAAATGCATGCATCTTAATGAATAGACCTACCTGGGATGAAAATCAGTTGAAATTAAAAAGTAATGAGGCTATTTTGTAAATTTAAGGAGTAATATAAGAAAGATACCCAAAATATTTACTTAAGGTGACAAAGTATTTATATTTTATTACTTGACACCTCTGTAGGTGTATATAGAATGTCCCTTTTAATGGCTGTAAAATTCAAACGAGATATAATAGCGACTATACCATGTATAATATCTGACCCGGTGCAAGTTCTTCTGCATGATGTTAGGATCAGGCCACAGGTGTTGTTCAGGTGCTGAGCCTGCAGACAGGCCCTAGCAGCTCTCAGCTTATTCTCTTCTGAAGTCCCGCTTAATAGAGTGTGCCACCGGCACTATATGTCTTTGTTTTGGTTTGTTTGCCTTAATTCACTCGCTATATTTAGCTGCAGAATTCCCCAGCTGCGGCGGAAGGCAGGTGTTTGCAGGTCCCTGGGGGTCTAGTTGAGGCTGCTGACATCATGTCCTGAACTCTTTGGGCCATTGGCGGGTTCCCCAGGCTACGTCGAAACAATGGAGTAGGTTTGGGGTCCTGACAGGGCTGACTGTCCCAGTGGCTGCTCCTGTGGTCTCTGGCTGATGAAAAAGTGGCCTGTTGCAGTGTGGTCTCTCCTATTGCCCCTTAAGCAACTTTTGCGCAAACCTTTAGACTCTGAGTCATGACAGTAGAAGTGACGAGCTAAACCCCGAACCCCAGTGTTTTTCTTCCCTCCCTGCTTTCGTTAAACCACCAACTGAGTTTACACTTCTGTCATGGATTCAGTACAGATGCAAGTTATGAGAGGCATGAAAGGATAAGAGAGGTAATTACCCGGTAATTTCTCATGAAAATACCAGTTTTAAAGTTGAAAGTCTCTCGGAAAAGGGATCAGGAGATATTTGACAGATCTGCGGTGCATTAACACCTTTGTGAACTGTAGGGTAAGACCCACCCAGGAGCAGCACAAGTACAGCTTTGTTCATTGTTTGATTATCATCAACCTGCTGGCTTAAAGGTGAAGTGTGTAATTTCTGTGGTTCTTCTGGAATCACAATCAGTTTTAATGGTCTGGCGAAATGGCCTGAAAATGTTTTTACTTAGGAAATGTTTCAAGTTTGGGATGAAGCTATCTATTTATCTGAGCAATGTCAAATGCAGTATTTAAGGTCACTTGTTATTGTTCATTTCTTTCTGGTGCATCATTGCACACTTCACCTAAAGTGATTGCACACATATGGAGTGTATTCTCAGCTTATCTCTTTTCACATTACATATGTCACCCTTGGGCATGTAAACAGCAGACACAGTATGAAGTTTCAAAACTGTAATGATGATATCCAGTGGTACTGAGCTGGGAAATATTTAAGGATACCAAGTAGCAACTTTTTTTTAAATGAATTGAAAAGATCTCTTACCATTCGTCCTGCCTCATTGTTGTGCCTGTTCATGGCACTCCGAGCATCTGGCCGGTTCTCACGAGCGTCTGCAAACTCTCGAGATACCAAAACCCCAAATTCAGCATCTTCACTGCAGCCACCCCACTTCCATCCTTCTCCCGGTGGGCCTTTATGATGGGAGTCACAGCCACACATAGTGGAGGTCCCCTCTGCACATGAACGGGTTACTGCAAATGCTACTCCAGCTGAGGCAATCGCATGAACAAATGCAGATTCCCTTGTAGCTGCAGAGAAGAAAGAGATTTGTAGATGTCAATCATGTAAACATTTCGTCACATTCCTATGACTGTTACAAATCTCTATTGTACCAACAAATGTATCTTCATTAATTCATTTTCTTTTTGACTTAGTCCCTTTATTAATCTGGGGTTGCCACAGTGGAATGAACTGCCAACATATCCAGCATATGTTTTATGCAATAGATGCCTTATTCACACACTATGGACAATTTAGCCTACCCATTTCACCTGTACCGCGTGTCTTTGGACGGTGGGAGAAACTGGAGCACCCGGAGTAAACCAACGCGAACGGGGAGAACATGCAAACTACACACAGAAATGCCAACTGACCCAGCCAAGGCTTCAACCAGCGACCTTGTTGTGAGGCGACAGCACTACCTACTGCACTACCGTGTAGCACCAAATGTATCTTGTGCTGGTCCAAAGCTTAGTGACCTTCCTACATTATTGCAAGTAATTATGTTGTCCCTTGAAGGAATAATTAATCCCCAAATTTAATGTCTGTATTGTCATCTCATTTACTTCTGATTTTAGAATTTTAAATAAATTCACGTTTCATATTTTTTTTAAAGCAGAACTTTATGTAGTTCCTTGACTGCTGAATTCTGCCTTAAACCTGATTTGTGCTGCTGTGTACCCCACCAAGCACATCTAACATGTAGCCAGTGTCGTTGTGAGCTTTTGTATTTCTGCATTCTGTTTGATTTGTTTTGCAATCACACCTCGGAAATGCTAGTTGAGTTGCTAGTGGATTTTTCTATGTTTTGCTGTGTTTCTTTGCAGGTTTCATGGTAGCGCAGTGGGTAGCACGACCGCCTCACAGGAAGAAGATTGCTATTTCCTGGTCAGTTGGTATTTTTGTGTTGAGTTTGCATGTTCTGCCTGTGTTTGCGTGGGTTTCCTCCGGGTGCTCCGGTTTCCCCCACATTTCAAAGACATGCACTTCAATTGCCTGGACTGTACCCAAGTTTGATTGTCCTCTCTTGCCACCATCTTGGTTGGTTTCTGTTCACACATTTTTTTTCCCTTCTGAACCCTGGTACGCTTGCATCATCGAGGTGCTGTGTTGTGTGCGGCTGTTGGTAGGTGACAGACACAAAAGCAAAGCGCCAAAATAGAAAGACGTCTGCACATCGTGGCTATTCTGCTTTTACTGAATCTTTTGGTTTTAGTAACATACAGAAAGCGACTCGTGTCCATCTGCTGCAATAATATTACAACTGGTCAGAACATATTATGATGTCCATGTACATGTATAGTTAAACAGCCAGACACCAATGTATCCAATTATTGTTGTATTTATGCTTGTTGCAGACATTCTGTATTAGCTTAGTGGCAACTCTTCATATATGTATAATCTCCATTGCTAATCTCAAGCCATGTACAGTTACTATACAGTATACACTATATACTATATCTAGAACTTTCCTAATCAAGCCTCATTCAAACTACGAGCTTCTCGCAGCAGCAGAACAACAAGCAACCATTCATTTCAATGGCGTGTGAACGACTTCTGGCAATCTTTATCTACATGAGCGACCATTGGCGACAAGGTGGGCATGTCAAGCGGTGCTAAAAAGTTGAGAATCCTTAAACTTTATGCAAATGAAGAGCAAATTTTTTGAGTGACAGCCAATAGGAGCATCAGTAGAGCTCACGCGATCCTCTCTCAGCTCTCTCAGACGTTGGTTGTATTCTCTAATGTAGACCTACACAGATCTGTGCTTACAGCAGATCGCCACCCGGCTACAAAGTCGCTTTTAGTTTGAGTGAGGCATCGAGGCATTGAGTGAGCCGTTTATGAGGTTCCATGACAGATGCTGCCTTAAGCCATGCTCACACTGCACGCTTCGCCACATAGACTTCCATTTATATGCATGTGAATGTGGCACACCGGAAATGCAAGCCACATTTGAAGTGAAAAAATGAAGTTTTGCTTGTGCGACAAGTTTCGCCTGTTGCTGCTATAAGCCGTGGTCATGCTGCACTTTTTGCCCCGTATTCATATGCATGTGAATGCGGCACAGCGGAAATGCAAGCTTATGCCACAAGTTTTGCATTCATTGCATTCTAAAGTTCAATCTTTGTGAAATCTGACCTATGAAATCACATCACTTGGTTGTGTAAGACCAATAGATCAGAATGTGACCTCTATGTACAGAAATGTAAAATGTGGAGCAATTAATTGCTTTATCAATGTCTAATCATCTTGTTTTATCTTGCCTTTTTTTGCAGTGCTGTACGATAGACTTTCACATAATCAAACTCTAATGTGACTGCGACTTAACAAAGTTTAAACTTGGTGATCTCAGACCTGTGAATTTGTATCACGTGAGCCCTATAGAAGATCAAACAGTGACCTCACTCTACAGCAATTGTAAATATGGAGAAATTCAGTGGCGTAGCGGACGGGCCCGCAGGGCACGCACCGCGGGGGGGGCCCGCGTGATTAGGGGGCCCCACGTCGTCGCGATTTTCAATAATTGAAAATTCAGGAACCGCAATAATCTAACTCTTGGGAACAACTGTGGTCGGAACCAAAGTTCACAGGTCTGTGTGCTCTGAACACCATTCTGATTGCTTGCCGCCGAACCGCGTCATAGCCAATAAAGACGCGCCGCTGTTTCTCGCCTCCGGTTCTCGTTAAAAAATTAATGACTTCTGGCTACTTTGACGCTCTCGCGGCTTTCGGTTTGTGATCGCTCCTTAGTTTGTGAAGAATTCCCCGCGTTGTCGATCCACCCCGCCTATTTTCCCCGCTCCTCAATTTGTGACATAGATATATACACTAGATATCGCATAGGGACCCTGAGCATGCGTCTATAGCGCCGCCACATTGGTACAGTGCTTCCCGGACAAATGTCATTCAAACGCACTAGTCAGGACAGTATTATTACGTGAAGATGCGGGACTTTAGCGCTGTCTACGAGTGTAGTAACGAGCAAACAAAGAAAACAAAGCACAAATGCAGAACATTTCATAGGTCAGATTAAGTTTTTATCTGTTTTTGTATGTTCTGAACTTTGTGCTAAACAGGTAACGTTATTGATGATAACAGTCACTTACTGCATTCACCATAAGGCAAAGCAGCTCCAACTCGCACTAAATACTCGGCTTATGCTAGTTTTGTTGAATAAAATCAGCAAACAATGCAAAATAAATATGACAACGAGATGCCGCGCTGCCAGAAACGTGTATTAATGTCGGCTAAGTTAGTGAAAGAGTCGTTCATAACGGAGATTCATTCACAAACTAATCGCTCCCTCCGTCAGTATGAGAAGTGAAAGCAGAAGAGGAGCTGTGTTTCAGGACACGGATTAGATCAAATTTAACAGCGAGGGTGAATAATACATTTCTGTTCACGCAAACACAAGCTTTATGTCAGGAATGCCCGTGCGATCAGTGATTCAATGTATCAATGTAGAAAAGTGATGTAAAATTATAATTTTCATAAAAAAAAAAAAATTGCATACTAACATCCAGGAAAACTCCCGATCATAGATATATGTGTATATCTCTGTATAAGCACCCCCCCCCCCCCCCCACCTTCGACTGGGGGCCCCGTCGGTGATCCCTGCAGGGGGGCCTCCGCATTTTGCGCTACGCCACTGTAGAAATTGCTTGTTTTATCAGAGTTGCGTCAGTTAGTTTTATCCCACCTCTTTTTGCATCGTCATATGACAGAATTTCGCATGCTAAACTCTTATGTGAATGTAAGAAAAAATTAGTAGGATGTTGAAGATCTCATCAAAGATGTTTATTTAGCATAGTAGTCTCAAAGTACACAGCAGTACCACCGTTTCATCCCAGTCAGAATGAACCCTGAACATTTATTTTTTTACTTAAACCTTTATACTGTTTTAGATGTTACCTTTAGATTTCCCTTTAGATGTTAATGAAGGTACTCTTTGGCTGTTGATACAGCTGTTCTCTCTATCTTTCTATGTTAATCTAGTTACCACACCATTGATGAGATGGTTTTCTGTGCCACATACTCATCCTCATTCTACAATTGCTACCAGTTGCTCAAGATGTAGTCACCTTAATCAATGCAGAGACAACAAACTGTTGACTTATCTTTTCTATCATAATTCAGCCCATTTTGTGAAATGAGCATCAACACATATAGAGTGGAAGTTGGTTCGAGGCAGACTTAATTTCTTACAGTGACCGTGGCTTTAGATGTCTGTGTAGTAAGACAGCTAGACAGCATTTTCCAACTGAGCTACAATCTATCCCGAGGCTTCTGTAAAAGGTTTGAAGGAGATCCCTACTTCTTTAACTGTGGCCCTCCCAAAAGTCTCTCACCTGTGTTTGTGTCTCCAGGGCATGGATCGTTTTCTGTGACTGCCTCTGCAATACTGTCAAGGTGTTTGAGTACTTGGCTGTAAACGTCTGTGACAGCACTGGGACGATTGTTGATCATGTCACTTGTGGCTAATGCAGCCTGAGGTTTCACTGACACTGTGTCATCTCAAAGGTGTGCTGGTTTCTCTCTGGATAGTGTTTCAGGATCCCCCACACCACCACAAATCTCCCACCCGCCCAAGCCCTGCGGCCACGTGTGTGTAAGCCAGCAATAAGTCTGCGTGTTTGGTTTCTGAAGGCATGTGCTGAGAGATGGAGTTACGCCCCCTTTGAATGCAACAGCTTATTATGTAACTAGACACCACCGTTTCACAATCATAGCGCACTTACTGTGGCTCACCAATTCGCTCAGTCCCCACAGGAAAAACTGCAGCTCAACCAACCCATCTGACTTCATCACCCCAAACATTTAAGTGCCTGTAATGACAGTGGTTCTCAGACCAAGTTTGTCAGGAATCAGTAAGGCCTATAATAGTGTAAGATTATCTAAAGGAGTGCCCACACACATGGAATATGCCGGTGTATTGTGGGTAATGTGAATATATGACCAAAAAAACACATCGTCGTTTCCCAATTGTGTTTATATGGTAAGTATCATGGTAACATATTGTTGGCCTGCAACTTGCTCTCTGCAACTCTCACTTGGATGCCCACTGAAGCTTAGCAGGGCTGCGCCCATCAGTACCTTAATGGGAGACTACATGGGAGAGCTAGGTTGTTGTCAGAAGTGGTGTTAGTGAGACCAGCAAGGGGTGCTCAACCTGGGTTCTTTGTGGGTCCTAACGCCCCAGTATATTGATGGGGACTCTTTCAGAAGAGACATTAAACCAGTGGTCACCAAACATGTTCCTGGAGGGCCGGTGTCCTGCATCTTACTAGCCTCAAAGTCTTACTAGGTATACTTGAAACATCCAGGCAGGTGTGTTGAGGCAAGTTGGAGCTGCAGGGACACCGGCCCTCCAGGACCGAGATGGGTGATCTCTGCGTTAAACCGAGATCCTGACTTTCTGTGGTCGTTAAAACTCCCAGGATGTTCTTCGATTAAAAAGTAGGGGTTTAACCCCAACATCCTGGCCAAATCTGCCCACTGGCCTCTGTCCATGGCCTCCTAACAATCCCCATATTATACATCACTCTGTCTCCTCTCCACCAATCAGCTGGTGTGTGGTGTGTAGTTTGGCACAATATGGCCGCCGTCGCGTCATTCAGGACGATGCTGCACACTGGTGGTGAATGAGAAGAATCCCCAAAAAGTGTGGTGTCCAAAAAAGCCTTATATAAATGTAAGGAATTATTCAGAATAATTAATTGTTCTAATTCTGGTAAATTGCTTTCTGTATAAATGTCATCTGGGGTCCAAAACAACACTATACCAGTAGCTGTAATTGATATGGATTTAAAAAAAATATATTACAAAATGCTCTTAGTCTTAGAGAAGAAAGTATTTTGGTTTTAGTGAAGAAGTATGTAATTGTGTAATTAGCTTAGCTTAGCGCCATGCTAGTAGCAAACTGTTGAAACTGAATTCAAGTTATTGCATCCAAAATTTTGGGGTAAAAATGTTCACTTCAGTCAGGCATTGCTTTCCATGATAGTTGTAGGGGGATGTACAAGGAATTTGTCTATGTAGACAGTCCTGAGGCATCTTAGACTTCCAAAGCCTACTATTCTAAGGTTGATCAAGAACAAATATGTGTCCCCAAGCTTTGAATTCGGCTACTCTGCTTCTGAATATGCTGATTTACCTACTATATAGTGAAATCAGTATGTGAAAGAAGTAGTGTGTATGCATTTACAAAACAAAGGTCACACCTATACTTTAAAACCACTGATATTCTGAAGTGGTTGTATATTATGATCACGTTACTACAACACGAGGCCATTAAAGAGGAGATGTGATTGACAATGAAGGGATACAGCTCACTCCACAAGTTACATGACAGGCATCACAGCTGGTGCACTACCTTTAGATTTCATTCTACACTAATTTGTGCAATTTAATGAATTTTTTTTTTTTTGCTCAGTATGTGCTTTCACATACAAAATGCTATTGTGGAATACTCGTGAGAACTCGACACAATCTAGTGAGCCTTTTTTAAAGACTGGAGTACTATAGGGTTGCCTTTATTAGCAATTAACAAATTTATGGTTGATTGTGTGCCACATAAACCTGTTTCAACTGGAAATACATGAACAAAGAACTGAAAACAGCGTTTTGCTCTGTTCCAGTATCCAATCTGTTCGTCTCCTTTCAGACTTCGCTTGGTTACCCGTTGTATTGTGTGCACCTCTCTTGCTAGGTAATGAAGATGAAGGAAGAGGTGCTAAATGTGCAGAACTGTTCACGCCACATTAGCTCTTTCCTTCTTAAATCTTTAGTTTTGTTTCCAAAGAATAAATATAGAAAGCCGCTTTTATCTGCCTGTTTAAAAGCTTTAAAAATGCAAACTGTTTTCAGTCCATTTCTGCATAGAAAAAAGACCTTTCTACTGAGGTAAGTCCTATTGCTTGGGTAAGTGAACACACCGATACACACACACACACACATGAACTATCACGAATGTCATCAATGGCAATGCCATTAGTACTGTGATTTAGTTCCATTGCTTTCACATCAGAAGCAAATCGTACCAATTACTTGTTTAGGTGGACCTTATGGGCATTGACGGCTGTCTCGCTGTTTCTCATGAATCTGCAGACTCATCTCGCCCCAGTATTCTTGTTTTATTCTTGCAGGAAGTTCATGTCCGCACACATAGACAAACAGTCCTTTTTAATAAAGGTTGTGTTTGGGCGCACCTCTCTGGGTTTGCGGCCAGAAGGAGGCCCAGTTGGTTCTGGCAGGCCCAGCTGGGTTCACCACAACAGAGAACTGTGAGCTCTGGGCCCCAGGAGCTCTGGCCAAGGGCCAAGAAGAGCGCTGCTCCCGCTACCTGCTGGGTCCATGAATCCGCCTTTGTCTCTGTGTTGTCACACCGTATTACCCACACAAAAGGGCCCAGCACCCCGCACCCCATAGCCCAGTTCAGCTCTGCCCAGAGCAGGGGCTGGCATTCCCAAAAGGAGCAACCCCCCCACCTCCTGTGACACACATACACAAAACACACATACATCTCATACCAGTCAAAATATTATAAAGCATTTTTAAAAATCCAGTCAGTCAGGACTCATTGGGCCAGTCCCAATACAAGCGAAGAACCTTCTTCCATATCTCCACTTCGCATTGTCTGTCTCCTTCATCCTCTCCTCATCCCCCTCTCCAGTTCCCCCTGCCTTCCACCTCTCTTCCTCCATGATGGGGAAGGATGGAGATTCCCTTTCAGCCTGCTTTCATGACACAGTCAAAAGGGCGTGTGAATGGGGCGTCCGTGGGAGCCGGGCGGTAAGAGGCACACAGGGATGGCTCATACTGGCCTTCATGCACAGTAGGGGTCGAAGTGAACCCTCTAGCCCTTTTCTATTGCTTGTAATCTCATTTGGCCTCCCTACTCTTTTTCTCTCTCTGTTTCTCCCTAACTCACTGCCTGTTCCTGCCCAGGTCCTGCACTGTGGTTAACCATCCTAGATGTATGTGATTTTTTGAGACCCATTTAGCATCCTTTCTGTCATGGGCTATGACAGAACATCAGTTCTCAGTCATTTAAGTAGCAAGTTTTTCAGGAAGCACATCATTCTCTACTTGACCCAGGATTTTCAGAAACATTCACATCTACAGTATCAGTACATTTCTGAAAAACCAGGAAACCAACTCAAATATTAACAAGATGTGCATGGAAATAGACAACATTTCGTTATTACATTGTTTTCTTAATGCATTTTTTTCTATTGCTTTTTCTATCTGCTGAAACACAAAGTTAAATAGTACTTATCAAAGAAAGTGTTGACAACAGTTTAGTTTTGTTCAAAGTTTGCCATTTTATAAAAATAGTTTGATAAGTCATTATTTTTGTTTATTTATTTTTTTCCCCTATTCATTTTGACTGATTTACCACACCGGAGGATTTTTACTTACTAAATATATATATATATATATATTAGAGGTGTGAACCTACACTAGTCTCACGGTTCAGTTCGGTTACGATTATCATGCCATCGATTCGGTTCAATTCGATATTTCGGTGCATCACGGTGCATTGACAATGCTTTCCATACACAGTTTTATATTTTCTTCAAAGCAGCATTTCTTGTATTAAAATGTATGAATATATTTATATTTATATACTATTTGTAATACAATTTTGTCATTTAATACAAACAGTCAGATATATAAACTGTAACTTTAAACAACACGAGCATTAAGCAAATAATATAAACAAATATAAATATCCAGCTCAATTTCTGATCCTTGTCTAGTTCTCTTACACCCCTTTGATTGGTCACACCTTCAAAAAAACAAAACAAAACGGTTGCGATTGGCTCTTGCGCGCTGCGTTCTTCACAGATGAGTGACACTGATAAACGGCAGGTGGCAGCGGCGATCTCACAGCTGATGTATGACAGACACGGTGGAGAAAACTGCAGACACGCGCTCAATTCTGGATGCAAAAGTAACGCTGTAAAACAGCCGAGAAGAGAAGAGAAGCCACGCCAGCAGGTCAAATGGGCCACTGTGTGTGTGTGAGAGAGAGAGTGAGAGAGAGAGAGAGAGAGAGAGAGAGAGAAAGAGAGAGAGAGAGAGAGAGAGAGAGAGAGAGAAATGGAGTAGGCTACTTTCATTCTCTCGATCTCAGTGAAATAGGGGCTATTGTTGTATATGTCAGTGAAAGACTGATCCAGCAAACACACACAGTGAAATTGTGCACAGTTTATGAGTTTTAAGTAGTTAAAGCGGTGTAAATACTCGCCATCGCCTCCCTCGCGACAGATCGCATATGAGGTAAATGACGTCAGTAAAAACCGGTTATGATTATTACTGAACCGATACCGAATTGTCCGCGTCTGCATCGCAGTGCACCGAAAAAACGATTATTTTTGACACCCCTAATATATATATATATATATATATATATATATATATATATATATATATATATATATATATATATATATATATATATATATTCAAGTTTTTGAATCTTTCAGCAGAAAGATTGAAATTTCCAATATGAGATTGCTTTTTCTTACTCACTTTTTTAACAAAACATGTTCATTGATGTTTTCTTTTTATTGATTATTTAATTGATTTAATAGAAGTTAAACTGAAAAGCATTTGTCTCTTTTTAAAATCTTTAGTTAAAATCTAATTTACCACTAGCCTTCTGTATTTTCAACACTTCTTTTACACTACTGCTCTACTGGCAAACGGATGACATCTCAAAACAAATTGTAGGTATGTAGAGGCTGATCATTCTCTATTACTGGAATTAAAATACTATATATTATGTAGACTGATGTGTACTGTTAACCGATACCTTTATCAAGCACTGGTCCAAATATTGCTAGACTGTCCTTGATAGTGGTGCAGTTCCACCTGCGACCACGGAACTGGTGCTGACACTCCTGGATACCCAGTTTGACTCCTTCCGCTACACTGGGCATGATCTCTATGTAATTGCGGCAGAAGCGCAGCTGTTTTGGCACCAGGCCAGGTATGGAGCCACACAGGATGGGTTGGGATCCAATGGATGAGTACTGCTGCCCAAGGGCCAGGGACCTGAAACATAAGCATGAAGTTTAAACACGTATCAGGACACACGTGACATCTAAGTCTTTTACAAGAAGACGGTTGTTCAGAGCAGTTACGTAATCTAATCTTTTACTTCAAGAGGTGTCATTTACTGACCCTAATGTTGTTTCACACAGCTAGAACTTTTCTAAATTGTTAGAATGCAATTGACAATTTGTAATTCAATCCCAGCCATTTCTGTTGGATTTAACCCAAAACTCGGAAGAGACTTGAGCACTTTATGTAATGATGAACATATTAAATGTTGTCTTAATATTATATATCTGCAAAACTGTTTTGTTTAAGTGTGTGTACATAAGCGTAAGGAAAATAATTAATTCTGATCCGGTGTTCAAATATTTTTTTTGCTTGTGTGTGTCTGCTATTAGATATTTGGCTGTTGCAAGTGTATGCATGTGTGTGGTTATGTGCAGTAGCTGAGCTGACAGCAAATTCCTCAGAGATTTCCTTCTGCTCCAAACATTGAGTGGTTCAAGAATTTCATGAACACTTCTTAGAAACAGACCCAATCTATTAGTTATTCCAGAAACAGTAGTACTTTCACACTGGTAATTAAGTTTATTGCCATCCTTCTGTGTCCAAAATGAGAATAACATCACACCATTATCGTTACATCCTTGTTTTGACATGTATACTTTAATAATAGGTGTAACCTTTACACTGCTTAAGCTATCATTGATTTTTATCGCATATTTGTAAAGTTAAATTTGTATGTGTGTGTGATTGTCTATTTGATAACATATGTGGAACACACACGCTCTGAACTGGAAGCTCTGAAGCTATAATAAGTCAAATATTCAGTGTTATAAATCCTGTGAATGTTTGGAAAAGATTCAGTTGTACAGCAGAGGAATCTATTAACAGTTCTGTCCTCATTTTCCCACAGACGACGCTATAAAACATATCTACATGAACCTATGAACTCAGAGACTGCTGCATACTGTACAAATCATTTCAAAAGTAATAAAACACTGACTCCGAATTCTCATTGTAAAGGGCAAATAGAAATTTTACCTCGGTTTTATTATATATACAATATTATTCTGCAAAATCATTTTCTAGCATTTAGCTGTCACCGTCATTTTATAAAACAATAAGCCAAAAGGTCACTAATAAAGGAAGTAGAAACTGATAATTTCTTAGATGTTATGTAGTCACTTACACCCTTGTGAGAAAGACTAGGGATGTGGTTCTATACTTTTGTTAACTGGTTGTAGGATGGAGGCAGATCTGAACTTGAGATTGTAATGTATTTGATCGGCTCTTGTTCTCCTCGTTCTACTCTAAATGGTATTTTTTAGGCCCACTAACAGGGACACTTAACACCACTGCCTCTAGAGTTCCCCTTAAATTCAAAGAAGTTAGATTCACCTGGACAACTCTTACAACTCACGCCCATCCACATCACAAGTCTAGATTATCTCCTGAAATCTGAAGAAAAAGGTTTGAAGTCATCTCATATGTAAACCTCGTTTCAACTTGAGAAAAATGCCACCAAAGTAACCTCCTAAACTAGCGATGCCCGATCCTGTTCCTGACAATTTGCCTTCCCGCAGAGTTCAGCTCTGCTGATCAAAAACAACTAAACCAACTAAGTAGGAACTGAAGAAGCACTTGGTATTTAACACATATGTGATTGGTCAAGTTTGCAGCTAAACTCTGCAGGAAGATCTCTGTAGACCTCCAGGAACAGGACTGGGCACTCTTGCCCTAAACCTTGCTTCCTTCCATGCCATGCACCAGTCTAATCCCTCTGGTTCTTGAGCTTAGAGGAGTAAGGTTTGCCTGCACAGCTCATAATGGCTGGCCTCAGTCAACAATGTAATCCCCAAATCCTCACTCCTATCCAGGTCATGGCACCAGTGTTACCCACCTGCTTCTGGAGTGCTTCACACCTCCCTCCAGTCTGGGTTACATGTCTCTTGAGGTCAGGAGAGAAAGGTTTGGCTCCACAGTTCATGCTAGCTGACCTGAATTACACTCAACCTTTAGACCTCTCTCTAATCTAACCCCTAAACATTGTCATCAAGGTCACTTCACCAATGTAACTTATCTGATTCTAGTGCACCTATTCAAGCCAAGGGAGTGATGTCTACCTGTTGTATTTTTATTAGCTTGCCCCATTACCCCTTCCCCTGTCCCAAACTTCTGTTCGATCTGGATCATAGCTGTAGTGTGATCCCCTAAACCTCTTTCGCGTGTAGGTCAAGGTACCAGAGTAAATTTAGCTTCTTTCCACTCTGTGGTATGGTATGTTTTGGGACAGTTCAGCTTGCTTCAGGTTCAGGTGCATTTCTGTTTCAGCTTAGTAAGAGTGAGATTATAAGCGTAGTTGCACTGCCTCTACTGCTATGACTTTCTTGGCAGCCAATTAGAGAAACATCTGGACTAGTTCTACGGACAAAGATGCTGTAATTTCTGGTGTCTTTTTTTAAAGTGATTATAAAAAAGATTTAGTTGTTCGAACCAGCAAAAGAGCAGTGGCTGCTGCTGACCATTTAAATATAAAGAGTTGGTGGACACTGGTACAGAAGTCATAAACTCTTGGTTCAGTTGGTGATCAGCAGTGTGTGTATATATCGCGCTTTAGCTTCCATTACACTCACTCATTCTAATCTGAGACATGCCACCAAAGTAACTTCCTAAAATAAGGGTGCCCAATCTTGTTCTTGGAGATTAACCTTCTTGCAGAGTTCAGCTCCAACCCTGATCAAAAACAACTAAACCAACAAAGTAGGCTCTGAAGAAACACCTATTAAATAAGACAGGTGTGTTTGATCAAGTTTGCAGTTAAACTCTGCAGGAAGATAGCAATGTCTCACATAAAAAAGCACAGGTACAAGGTAGAGAATGCAGTAGAAAAGGCCTTAAAACTGAGCCATACCAAACCAAACTCTGTCATAAAGTGGAAAAAGAGCCTTTTGTAACATTGACACTGTTAAGAAACTGAAATAAATAATCTGAATAAAGACACCATTGTCTTTTGTAGAGCTGGAGATATATTTCAAAATTCTGTTTTCCTGTTTATTACCGTGAAGCTGCTTTGACGCAATCTGTATTGTATAAGCACTATAAATAACTGTGACTTGACTTTATGAAATGATTGAAGAAATCTGTTGTTTTTTCCGGAAGAGGAGGTTTTGATTAAGACTTATGACTTAAGAAGAATCATAAAAATGAAACATGCACAGAAGAACTGTTCACAATAAGATCGATAACATGCTTTTACAAAATGAGAAAGGTCCCAGTAAAAGCATCACCACATTGCCAGATATGTATTTGTTTATTTTTGTTACTTTTTTTCCAGAGCCTGTGAATTTAAGCATCTACCTTGGGTGTGCAGAGGCATATTTCCATGCTTTTATGATGAGATATGCTGCCTGAGAGCACTGGCATAGACGCCGTCTTGTTGGCCAAGGGTTTACATGGTTCCCCCTTCAGGCCAGCGGAGGATCACACCTATTAGAGATCAGCCGCGCACGATGACCTCAGGAACCCCGCTGGGTGCAACCCTATCACAGCGCCAATCTCTCTGACAGATGAGTGTACTACTGCACCCCTCATACACAAAAGCATTGAAGTCAGGAGAGAAAAATCCCCCTCAGAGGCTTCTCGGCTTCTCTTTACTGTCCTCCCTCGCTCCAGTCGCACACTCTCCGTGTTTGATGTTGTGTGAAAGCGTGAACACAGAGCTGGGAGATGTTAGCGGGCTGCCAGGTTTTAGAGGAGGCGAGTCTTTGTATGAGAGTCTTATGTCGAGAGAAGTGCGTGTCTGGATGGCTTTGATGCTTCATGTGTGTGCGTCACTCCACCATCAGCTTTGTCAAGGTGTTCACGTCATAATGCTGATGTTTGTGTCTGCATGTAGGTGAAAGTGAAGTAGTAAAGCAGATGCACAGGTAAGAAGTACACATCCTAAAGTTACTTTAGGGTTCTTGGGTAATTGCCAGATACATTAAACACAGATACATTTTATGGCAAACAGCAAAAGAAAGTTTCTTTAGCTGTTTATTCTGATGAATCCTTTAACCAAAGAGCAGCGATACATCAATCAAGCTACCCCTGAGCATTTTTTGTTTGATTTTACAATTTTATGGCAGCTCTAAACTATTTTTCAATGGTTTGTTGTTGTTTGTTTTATTGGTAAAGCACATTTAAAAACAACAGATGTTGAGCAAAGTGCTTTAGAAGTCGACAAACACATGAAATCTATACTTGTAAACACATATACATGACCTAATATGTAAAGGCAGACCATTCCACAGACGAGGGGTTGTGACAGATAAAGCCCATGTCACCTTTTGATTTTAACTGTGATTTAGGAAAAACTAGCTGAAACTGGTTTTCCGAGCCGATTGGCCTCAATAAAGTGGGCCAGTGAAGAAGCTCACCAATGTAAGTAGGTGCCAGACTATTCAATAACTTGTATTAAATCTTAGATTAGACTAGGAGCCAGTGAAGGGATGGTAAAATTGATGATGTTTTTTGTATGTTATTCTATTGTAAATAATTTTTATTTCTGTTTTAAAATGTGGAAGTACTGTTTGCTTTATGCATTAACTAAATTTTCAGCCATACTTCGTCTATTTTAACAGTGAGTACCACAATGGAAACAAGCCCAGAGCTTTATTGTGTTTTTATCCTCAACGGTTTTATTTCAAAATGTATAGGATACTTGTATTTTTGTACAGTTAGTTTAAAATATGTCAAATAAAAATTCAATTCAATTCAATACTTACTACAGTAGTCAACGTTTGAAGTGGATCACAACCTTTTATTAAAACTAAAATACTTTGAACAATACCCATTCTTGTCTTAGGACCACTTGTTGACTACTGCATATAGTTAGGGTTAGAATGCAGATTAGGTTTAGGGTTTGTTGCTTGTAATTATGCATTATTATTTGCAAATTCTATAGCTAGTGCATGCAACCAACCCTAAACATAATCTACTGTATAAGTACATGC